ATCACCTGATGACGTCAAATGAGGCTTTGCGACAAGAATGACAGCAGTGATTGAGAGCCAGTCGAAGCACGATGTCATTGTGGAAAGATATGCAAGAACATCAGAGGTCTGAAAATCCATCAGGCAAGGACCAAAGGTGGCAATAGGGAGATACTAAAGCAGCGCACAGATATCAGAAATGAATCTGGTGAGACGCAGGAGGAACTCAGTCAGGACTCGAACCATAGTACAGAGAGCCTCCAAGCTTCGGTGTCGCCAGATGGCAGCATTGGTAGCTTGAATGAAGCGAGCGCCCATGGTGTTCAAGCAGTGAGGGACAGGAGATTAGATAAAGTGCAGTGGCCCAAGACAAATGACGAGGCAGCTTGGCGAAATCTTGATCATGATCCGGAGGCTATTTTGGAGACCACTCTACAGGGGAATGTTGAGAGGAAAGTGGATGCACTGACGTCAATTGTGTACAGTGTATGCAACGAACGATTCGGAGTGGAAACATCCAGAACACAACCCAGAGCAAAGACAACAAAGGAGAACAGGAGGGAACGTAAGATCAAACAACTACAAAAGGATATCAATATGAATATAAGTATTTTGGAGCTGGTTCAGAGATTCATTAAAGATACTAGACGCTTTTACTAGATTAGACTATATTGTTTATCTTTTTTCACATGACTTTGCTGTGTGGAATGATACCAGTACATAATTGTACTATGTGCTGTCCACCAGCATCATTTTAATTGCCATTTTTTGTAAAATCTAGTTTTTGTACAACAATTATCAAAAAATTAATAATGACATCCACATATCAATATACATGTTTTATCATTACTTCAATTCAATATGATGTGTGTAAACTGTTTATAACTGTAAGGAGAGGGCGCTCATAGGCTTTGCCTGTTTCCCAATTCCTTTGTATCTACGATCTGAACAATAAGTGTTCTGAAATTAAACTACGAAAGGAATTGGGAGAATTAGGAAAGAGGTTTAAAACAGCACCATAGAATAAGAAAGTTGTGATACAGCAGCTCGGATACGACCTTAGGGAGACACTCCGCCGCCTAAGGAATGCAGAAAGACTAAGGAAGGGAAGGAAGGAAAGAGCAAGGAAGAGAGCAGATCCATTCCAGTTCTCAAAAACTTTGCTAGGAGCAGAGAGATCAGGCCGTCTTGAAAGCTCGAAGAAGGAAGTGGAAGCTCATCTCAAAGGTGACCATTCAGACAAAAGGAGAGCAGAACCTTTATGATATTGTCCAAGAATCTTAGAGGTAGATGCCCCAAGTGCACCATTGGATACCAAAATTCCTACCTGGAAAGAGATTCAAGATGTGGTGAAGAAGACAAGGTCAGGATCAGCCCCAGGACCAAGTGGGATAACATACAGGGTTTACAAGAAATGTCCAACACTACTAAGGAGACTCTGGCAAATAATCTGTAAAGTATGGAAGAAAGGGACCATACCGGCGTGCTGGAAGAAAGCAGAGGGAATTTTTGCTCCTAAAGAGAAAGACTCCAAGACAGTCATACAATTTGGGACCATATCGCTGTTGAGTGTCGACGGAAAGATCTTCTCGATACTTGCCAAGCGCATGACAGCCTACATAGTGAATAACAGTTACGTCTACACCTCAAGTCAGAAGGGAGGAATCCCCGGGGTTTCAGGATGCGTAGAACATACAAGCGTAATCAGCCAACTGATCAGAGAAGCCAAGCAGAAAAAAAGATAACCTTTGAATGACCTAACGATCACTACCACCACACATGTACAGGCCAGATGGGTCTTGTCTGTGCTGGAGGATGTGGTTACATAGGCACGGATGCAGTTCAAACCTCGGAAATCACGTTGCGTGATTATGAGGAATGGCAGACTCAGCCGACAGTTTGTACTGAAGGTCCAAAAGGAGGAGATACCTTCAATCTTTTGCAGCCCCATAAAGTGTCTAGGGAAATAGTTTGATGACAAACTCAGTGACAGCCAGAACCACAAGAACACCCACAGTCAAGTGCTCGAGTAGATGAAGAAGATCCATAAGTCAGGACTTCCCGGGAAGTACAAAGCATGGATATACCAACATGGCATGCTACTAAGGCTCACATGACTGCTGCTACGGTATGAAATACCAACCCCAACAGTAGAAGGGTTAGATAAGATGGTGAATGGGTACCAGCGGAAGTGTCTTGGGGTCCCACCAAGTTTCACATCAGTTGGGCTGTACAGTTGTTCGGCAGAACTACAACTACCATTCAAATCGATCGGTTCAAAGTAGCAAAATGCAGGCTGTTAATGACTCTGAGGGACTCCAAAGACGTGAAAATCAGCGAGGTATGCATACAGACAAGAGCAGGGAGAAAGTGGTCAGCAAGCACTGTGGTTGGTGAATCAGAGAGTATGTTTGAGTTGAAGGATATCATCGGGAACACCTGCGTCGGAAGACAAGGAGTGTGCTTCTCTCATTTCCAACAGTTGGAGAAAGCAAACACCCAGGGAGCGTGGACCAGATGGAATATCCCAGAGAGGAGGATGACGTGGGCTGAAACATACAGGATGGAGCCCCTCCGGATATCATGCCTGCTACTATCCGTGTATGACACGCTACCATCTCCTGTTAACGTGCATCAGTGGGGATTGACGGAGGATCTTGCGCCAAACTAGGAAGAGGAACAATGGCTCATATCTTGTCTGGTTGCAAAGAAGCACTAAGACAGGGTAGATACCGATGGAGGAACGACAATGTCTTGCGGGTCCAAGCAGATATTCTTGAAGTGAGGAGAAGGAAGAAAAGAACTGGTGTAAGAACAAACCAGGCTGGTATCGAGTTTATGAAACCAGGGGAAAACCACAGTAAAGCCTCGAAGCACCTCATCCATCTTTTGGAACGGGCGCCAACATGGGAGATGAAGGTTGACCTTAACAGGAAGCTGGTGTTTCCAGGAATTGTGGAAACAACGCTGAGGCCTGACATGGTAATATAGACAGAGCAATCCAGACACCTCATTGCCATTGAGCTCATCGTACCATGGGAGGAGGACTGCGAGGAAGCCTACGAGAGGAGGAAAGCCAAGTATGATTAGGTAATGGAAAAGTGCAGGAGCAGAGAATGGACAGTATGGCTCTTTCCAGTGGAAGTTGGCTGTAGAGGCTTCCCCGCACAGTCAGTGTGGATGACACTACAGTCGACAGGACTCACTAGGAGGGCAAGAGCTACCGCCATCAGACGATTGGGAGAAGCTGCAGAGAGAGCATAGTACTGGCTATGGCATAAACGAGAAGAGCCGATGTGAAAGCCGACATAGACGAGTAGTGGTTTGGCCACCATTACTGACCCACCAGCCGGAGGATGTAGTGATTAAGGGTCGAAACATCTGAAGAGGGCTGACCATCAACTGATGACGTCAAATGAGGCTTTGCACAAGAAAGACAGCAGTGACGGACACTACAATTCACGGATGTCACAAGGTGCAGAATAACCATCATCTGTAAGCAATCACAGACGGAATGTCTCGATATTATTGTGTCAGCTGACTTAACTGACTCTGCCCACTGTGACTTGGTGAGTTGTTTTCAGGTTTATAGAATCAGGACACTGGTCATTTGCATCCCTTGCATACGAAAACAGACGTTTTCGAAAGCTCGCAAAAATAGTTTTCAATTACTGTTTGTGTTCAAAATATACTTAGCATATAGTATTCATACCAAGCTGATGACGCTCATTCCAAATATTATGTACAGTGTTTCACGACCTTGCCTTTAGAAAATTTCTTTACTTAAGTTCTGTCCGTAAGAAATCTTAACTGAGGTTAGGGGCACGCTCCTTAACTTCGATAATGCTTCGCTATAAAAATCAATCTAAGATTAACGAGAACGTTAGGTATCTGAGCCTGACATTTATTCGCCATCTAGAGAATATTACCTTGTAACCAGAGCGTCTCACAATACGTAAATTCTGGCCGTGTTAAATACACCGAAATAATTACCTATGAATCATTTCTAAAGTATAGTTGTCTTAAAACACCCTGTATGTATCGCCATAAATATTGAAATTCACGAGATACTTTTTGTATTGTAATGTAATCTAAGGTAATGAAACCAACCAGTGGGTTGTGGTGGGAGTCGCCGTGGTACTTGTTTTGTTGTCACTACCCGAGTCCTCGATGTGAGGTCGTGATATTACTTGGATTTGACTTAAATTTAAATGGCGGGAGTCGTCGAGCAGAAGACACTTTACCTTCCAGACACCTGGTCTTATTATCCTTTTACTTTTTTGTCTCCATGCAAAACATGTCCATACTTTGCTCTAGTTTTATCGATTTTGAGTTCGAATTATGGTTTTGTGGAAATTTCTGTATTTTCGTGTTGTTTTTTCTCAATAAATTGTTGAATAATAGGAATAGGAATAGCCACAATCGGGAACCGTCGGCACTTTCCGTTAAAGAGTATTTTCTCGTTTATGGAAAGTGCCGACGGTTTCCGATTGGAATAGCCAAACCAGTGACTACTTAGGATCTCTGTCCCACTTCACTGTATTTAAACATTAAGATCGTCGATGAGAGGGTCAAACAAAGTAAACATTTTACAGTACCATATGGCAATGTTGCTCGCTAAGGACTCGTCATTTGTACAAAAAGTCAAAACAATTAATATATATATCTAATGTGTTCCGCTACGCTATGTACGTCAAAATGCGCGGTAAGGGGACAGGTGCCTATGAAGCATGTATAGTGTTCCAACCTTAGATACAACAGACAATTTATATTAGTTAGTATCTCCTGTTAATCGTGTCAGAAGAAGTAATGGTAATATAACTCGACCTCAAATGAAATTGACACATTTGAAGCACAAAAACATCAGTACATGGCTTTTTCATTTTTTATTATTTTTTTTTGCAAATTTATAATATCGATATAAAGCCGTTGGCAAATTTTCAATTATGTATAAGCAGCGCACGAACAAAGGAAGAAAAGGCAGTGACGTCAGTATTTAATTCAAAATTACCCTGATACTATTTTAGTCTAAACCACTTCCTCCGCCTAGTTTGCAGCAAGGATCCTCCATCAATCCCCACTGATGCAGGTTAACAGGAGATGGTAGCGTGTCATACACGGATCGTAGCAGGAATGATATCCGGAAGGGCTCCATCCTCCATATTTCATCCCACGTCATCTTCCTCTCTGGGAGATTCCATCTGGTCCACGCTCCCTGTTTGCTGAGTTCCACAGATTTCCCTCTCCTCCTTTCCTCCTCAATCCTTTTGATTTCTTTCTGTACTATTTGCCGTCTTTCTTGGGTGTTTGCATTTTCCCACTGCTGGAAATGAGAGAAGCCATTTAAACCACAAAATTGAGATCATCGTGGTTTTGTAAAACAGTTGTGGAGAATATGAGAGAATGCTTCTTGTAGAAGGAAAACATTACATAATTAAAAATAACAACAGGATGGAAAACATTGCTATCGATGAAAGCAATATAAATGTGTGTTATAGGACCATAATAATATTTGCTAAAATATTCAGTATCTATTTTTACATTTTGGTAGAATAGTTACGATTTATTAAGTTATTTCGAACAGTTCTTTGAACAGCAATAGAGATTGATGACGTTACAATAGCAAATGTTGTTAAAGTCTCACAACAACATTTGCCTTCTCAATGCATTGCAATGGAAGGACGCAGAGCAAATGTAAAAATGTTGTTATGTTTTGTCTTTTACATATTTCTATGAGCAAAAGCGGCGGTGAATAAAACATAATATTTGCAAAAAAAATAAATAATAATAATAATAAAGCTACACATTGCACACAGAAATATGAACCATACATAATCTGTACTTGTTCGATATAAGCACATTTCAAACCTCTACTTACAACTTCTCTATAGTTCCTTAAACATCTGTGACGTACTCGATTTACCACAAATAAAAGAATCATTACCAAGGTGTGAGTTTACTAGCAAGGTATAATTACTATAGCGCATATTATGTGTCCCATCTAAATGAATGGTCACAAGAATCGTATGTCAAAATCAATACCGACATTTAATTGTTCCTGTCCGTTCCTCAATTACATAGATCAGATATATTACTTTTTTAATTGCATTTTTAAAATGGGTAGGAGAATCGTTTTGTAACAGATGTTCGCCTTTCTTCATCGACTTTAACAATAAAGTAAATAAATAAGAGGTGTTCATTGTCTCTTGATCTTAAAGTTGAAATTATTTTAGCGGAAAAAATAATGACGGTCATGATAACTATATTAAGTATTTTTTCTTCCACTGACCGTTGAGTATTTGAAATGTTAAAATATGTATAGCTACTCAAAAATTCAGAAAATCGACCGTGAATTGTACAAGTAATTAGAATCTAGTTACATTAAGTGTACCACTTAATCTTTATTACCGATACAACTAGGTAAAATTCCGAAAGGTACTTTTTTCTAGTGTAATATTCTATCTTTCATTCCGAATATTTTCGTAATGCTATTATTTCCCAATGTATCACTGTAAAGGTTTACATGATTCCTGTTTTATCAGCCGAGCATGTTACTACAGGAGCGCTCGTTTCCCTGTCATCTTCGTAATTTAATTGTTCATGTTAGTTTACCTCAATAGCATGCAGTTCAAATTTAAATGTAGCATTCATAACCAGAATAATTCAAATTTACAACAGTTTTTTAAAGATGCTTATTTCAGAAGCAAAGCTCCTATCTAAAATTGACATATTAATTATCCATTTAAACAATTTGTCGTAAAAAGAAAATCTGATATATTTCAGGATTCACATTGTAGTTTGTAGTGTGTTCACCGATAGTATCAGTGACAGACTCTTCCCGTCATGCATTATCAATGATCTGGACTAGCTCAGTAAACAGTAAGCTTAACGATGACCACACAATTAAAATACGTAAGTCTTAATTTCAGCGATAATCAAACTAAATCGTAACTGTTTCGTGCAAAAATGTTTATGACTAAAAAAAACAAAAAAATACCGGTTTATATTTTTACATTCCTGTTGAAGTACATCGGCTAAAACTGACTAAGCCTCCGATGATTGCATTGATCACGTGCCAATATGTGACGCATGAAAAGTGTGTAATCGATGGACCTTCAAAGAATGACGGTACACACAAAGGAATACATTAATGCGGGTATCTTTACAAAAAGGCAAAATATTCTAAACCTGACCAAGATGACAACAGATACAGTCTACGAACAGTACAGGAATATTCTGTGAAATGTGAAATCGAACTCAGTTAAACGCAACGAGACTTTGGCTAAATATGAACAAAAGACCCTTGAAAAGAATGAAGTAAAGTAAGACTAACTGTTTTAAAAGGGTCCGGAAAATTAGCTTCATCGACGACAACGGCCATGTAAATCTAGGTCAAATTCATGTCATGTAATGTTCTCAAAGAGACGATCGAGGTAGTGACAAAGAACTGAAGCATAATCAAACCCGTCGATGCATGTATTATGGCTATTATAAGTAGACAAGTTAACTGTTTTGCCTATTTCCGGCGACAAAGCAAAAAGAAACTGTTTTATTACCTTAATCAGCAGTATGATTGTCGCTGTGAAAACTCAACGGTTACCAGTTAAACCCAATATAACCTACTTTATATGAACCACTATATGGTGATCTCTTTTTAAGTGTAACTATCGAATGGGGAGATAGATGGGTCAGAGCAGGTTTTGTGGTAACGACCAAACTTGTACAGTGGTTATTGATAGCTAACTGAGGAAGAGGAGGAGGTCGAGAGATATTGCGAAGACGTTTGTAAGAAGCAAGGGAAAAGCACTGGCCATGAGAGCTACAAAAACAAAGCTCAGCTTCATAATCTGGTGAGCGTACGAGGTTTCCAGTGTTGGCACTCACTTCCGGGGTTAAGGTGTGCATCCAAAGGAATACAGAGCTAGCATGTTGAATTGAGCTACATGATCACTGTTGTTTTGTGCCATTTGCTGTTTAGACTACGGCTGATTTCAGTGGTTAGAGGAGCACATTGATAAGTGAAATTAACTGGTGCACCACGGTAGGAACTTTTGTCTGCATCAGCGATTAGAGCATCCACTGAGTAGATTTTTTTCATCTGAGATTATTGTAAGTATTGTAGGACTCGGGGAATAACTAGACCCGCACCAGAACCAAGCGGCAATCATTATAGGATAATTTGAGCCCAACTAACTAATTTCTAAGACGTCTTCGGAGATTCGTTAAGACAAATTGGCGAATTGGGATAAACCACCATGCGTGCAAACAGCCGAAGATCTTTTCATTCTTAAACTGAAGGATTCTGTCAATTGAATTAGAACCATAGCTCTGTTCGATGTAGAGGGGTATAGTTTTTTTCCATTTCTAATGAATTTATAGGGAAATATGTTTTTCGCTGTCTTGACTAAGAGATACCATCGCTGACAGAAAATAAGAACTTGAGGAATAAGGTAAGACTGGGTTAGGTCATAATTGGATGGCATCTCCACAAGTCGGAAAGACTGGATTAAGCCAATATTGGATGTCATCACCACAAGGTGGAAAGATTTGGTTAAGCCAATATTGGATGTCATCACCACAAGATGGAAAGATTGGGTTAAGTCATTACTGGATGGCATCTCCACAAGATGGAAATATTGGGTTCAACAGTTATTGGATGTCATCACCACAAGATGGAAATATTTGGTAAAGCCATTATTGGATATCATCTCCATGAGGCGGAAAGATTGGGTTAAACAATTATTAGATAGCATCTCCATAAGACGGAAAGACTTGGTTTAACCATTATTGGGTGTCATCCGCATAAGGCGGACAGTTTGGGTGAAGCCATTTTTGGATGTCACCTCAGCAAGATGGAAAAATTGGGTTAGGTCATTACTGGATGGCATCTCCACAAGATAGTAAGATTGGGTTCAACAATTATTGGATGTCATCACCACAAGATGGAAATATTTGGTTAAACCATTATTGGATGTCATCTCCACAAGATGGAAATACTGGGTTAAGCCATTATTATATGTCATCACCACAAGATGGAAATATTGGGTTAAGTCATTATTGAATGTCACCACCACAAGATGGAAAGATTGGGTTAAGCCAGTATTTGTTGTCACCTCCACAAGATGGAAAGATTGGGTTCAGCCATTATTGGATATTATCACCACAAGATGGATATAGTGGGTTAAGCCATTATTAGATATCATCTCCATGAGGCGGAAACATTGGGTTAAACCATCATTAGATATCATCTCCATAAGACGGAAAGACTGGGTTTAACCATTATTGGGTGTCATCTGCATAAGGCGGACATTTTGGGTTAAGTTATTATTGGATTTCGACTCCACAATGCGGAAAGACTGTTTTAAGTCATTATTGGATGGCAGGCACCTCCACAAGATGGAAAGACTGGGTTAAGTCATTATTGGATGGCACCTCCACAAGATGGAAAGACTGAGTTAAGTCATTATTGGATGGCATCTCCACAAGATGGACAGACTGGGTTAAGTCATTATTGAATGTCACCTCCACAAGATGGAAAGATTGGGTTAAGCCAGTATTTGTTGTCACCTCCACAAGATGGAAATAGTGGGTTAAGCCATTATTGGATATTATCACCATGAGGCGGAAATATTTGGTTATGCCATTATTGGATGTCATCACCACAAGATGGAAAGACTGGGTTAAGTCATTATTGGATGTCATATCCACATGGCGGAAAGACTGGGTTAAGCCATTATTGGATGGCACCTCCGCAAGGCGGAAAGACTGGGTTAAGTCATTATTGGATGGCAGGCACCTCCACAAGGTGGAAAGACTGGGTTAAGTCATTATTGGATGTCATATCCACATGGCGGAAAGACTGGGTTAAGCCATTATTGGATGGCATCTCCACAAGAGGGAAAGATTGGGTTGAGTCATTATTGGATGTCGACTCCACAGGATGGAAAGACTGAATTAAGTCATTATTGGATGGCATCTCCACAAGATGGAAAGACTGAGTTAAGCCATTATTGGATGTCATATCCACAAGATTGAAAGACTGGGTTAAGCCATTATTGAATGTCACCTCCACGGGGTTGAAAGACTGGGTTAAGCGATTATTGGATGGCATCTCCATAAGATGGAAAGACTGGGTTAAGTCATTATTGGATGGCATCTCCACAAGATGGAAAGACTGGGTTGAGTCATTATTGGATTTCATCTCCACAAGATTGAAAGACTTGGTTAAGTCATTATTGGATGTCATTTCCACAAGATGAAAAGACTGAGTTAAGCCATTATTGGATGTCATTTCCACAAGATGGAAAGACTGGGTTACGCCATTATTTAATGTCACATCTACGGGGTTGAAAGAATGGGTTAAGCCATTATTGGATGGCATCTCCACAAGATGGAAAGACAGAGTTAAGTCATTATTGGATGTCATCACCACATGATGGAAAGATTTGGTTAGGCCATTATGGAATGTCATCTCCACAAGATGGAAAGATTTGGTTAAGCCATTATTGGATGTCATCACCACATGATGGAAAGATTTGGTTAGGCCATTATGGAATGTCATCTCCACAAGATGGAAAGATTTGGTTAAGCCATTATTGGATGTCATCACCACATGATGGAAAGATTTGGTTAAGCTATTATTGGATGTCATCTCCACAAGATGGTTAGAGTGGGTTAAGCCATTATTGGATGTCATCACCACAAGATGGAAAGACTGAGTTAAGCCATTTTTGGATGGCATCTCCACATGATGGAAAGACTTGGTTAAGCCATTATGGAATGTCATCTCCACAAGATGGAAAGATTTGGTTAAGTCATTATTGGATGGCATGGCATGAATTTTGATACCGGCGGCGGATCGCAAGGAGCGCAAGTGTCCATTGTCTTCACGTAGACACGTGGAGTAAACAATACACAAGTTGTGTTCAAATATAATTAAAAGTGTATATAGTGTGTAGCAAAATGAGTTACTGACTGACGCATAGCAAAATATTCACTTTTTTTCTGTTTGATGGTCTTAAATTCATTCGTGTGATTGAAATTTAACTGAATAAAATAAAAAAAAATACATAAAGCACAATTTGTAATAAAAGAAAATAGAATCCATATATTTTCATGCGTATTCTTTGAAAAATAGCAAAACTGATGACGGATTTGCCAATAAAAACGTTTTAAAAAACGTGTATCGGGTACAGTTAGAAGAGGCTATTGTTTTGTCATTAGCTATAATTTCGTTTAAATAAGCGGAAGGAAGCAAATGCATTTTGGCCATAAATTTGGAAACTTGTCAATCGTTTAAAAAAACAATCATATTTTATTTTATATCCTTTATTTATACTTGTATACAAAGTTGAGTCAACAACTCGTCTAACATTTTGTCAAGTGGTTATAAAATATACAATAATTTACAAAATGTACATTAAACAGAGAATCATAAGAATAAAACATGATGAAATGCAATTGTATAAAACATCCATTACGGTACTTAAGATAAGTCCATAAAAAAACTTCTTTGCTCTCCGTTTTAAAGCTTTAGGAGGGAAAAATATTCCATGTATATGATCCCTGGTGGGTAAAAGATTTCTTTAAGTGGTTAAGATAGTGCGTAGCCAATCGATGTGAAACTTTGTACATTAAAACTGACTGATTGTGCAATAAACGTTTTGAAAAAGGTAGCCAGTTTAACTTTTTATACATGTCACTAGATGGAGTATTGAAATCACAGTTCAAGATAGCCCTTGCTGCTCTTTTCTGGAGTTTATCAAGTTTGGTTGTATTTACCTGAGAGGTGTTTCCCCAGGTATTTGCACAATAGTTAAAATGTGGATTTACAAAACAGTTGTAATATGTTAAACAGGAACCCTGACTTAAGAACAATCTCAAACGTTTCATTTGAAAAATGTGAAAAGACAGCCTTTTGCATACATCGTTAACATGTGCATTCCAAGATAAACATTCATCGACAGTAACACCAAGGAGTTTTTCTGTTTTTACATTTTCAATTAAAGTGCCATTGATACCAACACTCAGGGTCCGATTTTGCCTGCTCTTACGTTGAGATGTACTAATTAACATAGTGTTTGTTTTTTCAGTAGAAATACACATTTTATTAGAACTACGTCATTTAGAAATAACATTTGCGTCAGCATTAAAATGTCATTTAGTACGTCAATGGATTTATCACTAGTCTCAAATGTGGTATCATCAGCAAACATGTGTGAACTACAGTGCTGCTTGTTTATAAGAGGTAAATTTCCAGTACATGCAGTGTATAGATGTTCAAGATATCAATTATCTTAAGTGTATTATTAAAAATTACTAAATATATAAGCGCAGAACAAGATTTTAGTTAAACATTCATATAAGATATCCATTTGATGTTATTATGTAAAGAGTTTCCTAGTCATCCTCGATACCTACGTATACCTAGAGAGTAAAAACATTGTAGGTATATGCCTATAGTTCTTCTTTTCTTTTCACTCCTTCTTTCAATTCGTATTCTATTTCTCTTCGTATTTCGTTGAATCATTTCTTATCTGGACGGTAGAATACATGTAGCTATGTGATGTTAACGTTTCTTGGCATAAGTTTCTTCCTTTTAATATATTCAAGAATGAACAGCTATATCAGTGGGCCTAGGGTCTACGGGAGATAACTCGTACTAAACGGGCACCTGCACACTGGGGGCGTACCAAATTCTTAAAATTCCTGAAGTGGGTATGTGTACAGATATAAATTGACATCCTTGATATGTTAAGCGCTTACGTATAACTCAATTGTTAACCAGCATTACAAGACAAGGCACTTCGCGAACATCCGCAGAGAAGATTGACCGGATCTGACGTCACACATCCTTGCGTGCCATAAAAGGAATTTGTTTGCATCGGGAAAGTGACAGTACACAGGCACAGTGACATTTACTGGTTTCCCGCTGGAGAACACCGACCCCCTGCCTGTCAGCACTCCTCCCTTGATACATTGTGAGTATTGACATGGACGATACACTGACAACAATGTGTGGATATTTATGTCAAAATCGGGAGTGAATCATTCAAACACACGATGGGTGAACGTGCACATGTCTGCATTGTGTTGATGGGGATGTAAATCCCGGAGGGTGGGGCGGTGACCCCGGTGGTGTGGATCGATTCGATTGTTTTTTTTATCGTATTGCAGTATATTATTATGTCTACAGATAATTTATATACATTGATAGTCAATTTATGTTGTCGTGCGAGTATTTGTTAAGCCCTAGGCATGTAAGCAGAGGATGGGTACATGTATTTATTATTTTGAGAGAAGGAGATATTCACGAGGAGGAAGGTGTAAACGGGTGAAGCCGGAGTGGAAGGTGTACAGACGGTGTACAGACATGTGATGGATAGGGTGGGTGCACGTGTAAGACTGACGGTTTAGGACATCTTGTGTGAAGATGTAAATTGATTATATCGCCAATTTGATTTTTGTAACTGGTTGCATTAATAAACACAGAACAACTAAATTTGTAAAAAAAAAAGATTACATATGTATACTATGGTCCAAACTTTGACATCAATCTTGTTTTTATAGAAATTTGTGAAGGTTTAATTTGAATCTGGGTAAATCATACACAAATTAGGATTGGCACTACAGATTTAGATTGTGTTTTTCTTGGGATTAAATCTTCCCAGTATCTGAAGTTTATGTAGCTGAGTTTATACAGTATGTTAACTCACTGACCTGACTTATATTGCCTTGTGTCCATAAACATTACAGAGAAGAAACAATCTCTTACCATGGACAGATATGTATCCACACTTTTTCTGATGTGCATTAATATCCGTGGCGAGGGGATCCCTCTGTCGAAACAGTTGTATTAACATCAAAGCTCAGTCAACAATGCATTGAGGCTACATAATCAACAATAACATATATGACAAGGCTGGGTAACAGAAAAAAGATTCATTCAACCCAGGCTCTGGGATGAATTGGGGGATCAAATATCAACCCTTTGGGAAATATTATGAAGTTGCCAAACACTTTTCAAATCTCATGTTGGCAATGGGAGATGTTCCCTCGGGTCAATGACATCCCCTGTCTCATATGTTGCACAGATCCCAACAGGTAAATAGTTAAATTGAAACCCATTTCAAATGAATTTGTCTCACCCTAGGGTTGCGATGAGGGAATTTCTCAGTCATAACAATTGAATGTCGTCACGTCAACAATGCATATATGATGATGTGTGAATCCAAGAATCTGATCCAAGAATTGTTCAACTCTTGGATGAGATGGAGGAGTCTCAACCCTTTCGGAAAGATTTTTAAGTTACCCAACACTTAAATCTCACGTTGGCTATTAGAGATCTTCTCCTTAGGTTTAAATCCCCTGTCTCTAGCACCGATCCCAACAGGGTACTGAGGAAATTCCCCAGTCATAACAATTGTAAGATATATCATATGTCGACAATGCATAAACAGCATGTCAACAATGCATGGATGGTGAAAAATCAACAGCATAATTTTATGACAAGGGAAGGAAAGTGAAAAAATAATTTACTCCGTTATGGTTGAGATGAGGGAATCTCCCAACCCTTGGAGAAAGATGTTTAAGTTGTCAAACACTTCGCAAGCCTCATACACTCCCTTCGATTGAGATCCAATCTATCTCATTTTCAACAGGTGAAAGACAACATGTTGCTAAATAGTGTCTAAAATACCTTAGAGTTGAGATAAAGGGATTCCCATATGATATTATGTCAAAAATGCATAGACGTCTCGTCAACAATGCATAAATTAAACGATGTGATCAGTATGGCCTGTAATGTCAGCATTGCATTTATGGAAAGGCCAACAAAGTAAGGGACAAGGTCAGTTATCCACCTTTTTGGGTGAGATGGTAGGTCAAATCCCTTGGGGCAAGCCTCATGTTTGGCAACTTCAGAATTTTACCTTTAAGGTTGCATTGAGGTCCTGAACCCATACCACCCAGGGAGTGAAAGTTTCTACTAGTCTCACATTAACTACTAGAGCTAAATGTAAATGAAGTTCACTGCTTCATTAAATTTTGTGGTAGACACCAGTCGTAGTAAACCTTGACAAATGTAAAATTATGTTATTGTTGATGGTTAATTGTGTGAGAACTACCTTGTATGTTGTATATTTTACAGAATGTGGTTGTAACAAAACATAGGACACTAAAACTGCCACTGAACTCCAGTATTTCTTCAGTGTTGTACACAGCTTTAGATCAACCCAGAATGTAATCATGTTTTATAAATAATACGATATAGCTCTTCACTTTGTTCTTATATTATTAAACCCATGACATAGTAAATGGAAACAAAAGATCTGATTAAGGATTTCTGATAAAGGGATCCCAAATTTTAAACTAAATATTAACCAACTTTTCGCTCGTCCCCACACCACACACAAATTACCTCAAAACTCAATGAAGGCCAGTGTTAATAAATGTGTCTTCCTTAACTTGAATAACAATCCTAGGGTTGAGGGGAAAGAGAAACTGTTTTATTTCAGAAATTTTATATCTTTACTGATTTTCGTATCAGTCTTTTGAAAACATGTTATATATGTTAAGTTGCATGTTTTAACAATATTGATGATTGCCTATTCAAAATTTAAATAATTTGCAGCATTTTTTTATATATTCTTTTTTTGGGGGGGGGGGGGGGATGTGCTGCTCAGATTTAGGCAAATAATCAATGTTTTATTTTAGGCCTAAATTGAAGTAGAGTTTGGGGATATCCTGGGCCCTTGAGTGACCACATTATCAGTGAAATCTCAGTATATGATATTAGCTGTTGTGAGGGCACAAAACCCTAAACAAACACAATGTTTCAGTACACAAGTACGACACTGATACTGTCAAATGTTCTGGTAGATAACACTTAATGTACTTAATGATTTTACCGTGAACAAGACAAACCTACCGTACCACTTATTTCATTTTCTTTACAGTAATCCCCATATTATATATACACATTGAACAAGTTCGTTACACTCAATAACATAAAAGTTTCACAAATTTAAGCACATAAAATATATGTGTTTACTGACTCAGATGTTTAGTTGTAATACGTGTATAACAAGACCATGAAGGTTTGTACGGCTCACACTGTCTAAAGCAAACTCTCATTTGTCTTAAACAGACCAAAATAATTAGGTTCGGATGATGACAATGTAACAAGTAGTCCATCTACAACCTGGCACTATCAGCAGATTGGCCAAATGGAATTAACCCAGGGTTGTCTTGATTAGACAGTTCACTGTATTTTTAAAACAAAATACATAGTATTTAAAAAAAGTTGAAATAATTAATTGTGATCAAATTTTCCCATCAATGTTTTATATGTTATATGCAGTAGATATCGGTGGTAATTATAAGAGAGTCAATTTTGACAAACCTTCATTCTCATCAGTACATCTTATAATTGAAATTTTGTGATACAATTTTTTTAATGACTTTTCAAATAAAAGTAATATTTTTTTAACCTGAATAGGAACTTAATAACAAATTTAATATTTCTTCTTGAAATATACGTGAGATGTTAGAGAAAGTACCTCCTGACCTCACAAATTAACATAGAAATAGATTCATCACAATATAAACCTGATATATAGTTTATAGGTCTGGATATCTTCTTACGTCAGAAATCTACAGGACGAAGGAATCATTCTTATGTAACGGCTATCATCACAGCATTAGTTGTTTGTGTGTAGAACTGAAACACGATACAGCAGCACGCTCTCCTTGTTACTCTTAATTTACTTCACTTTTGTTGGCATCAGCTTCACCTCTTTGGCAGACTAGAAAGATCTAAAGTTCACAAAACCACAACCAAAGGCATGGTACAGTTTACAAATATACATTTGTTAGCTACAAATATACCAGCGGTATTGGAATACATACGTTTGTGGTATGATAAAGACAATGTTAAACTGTGTTAATTAATATAACGCAGTCCTTCTTGTTCATTTTTAATTGTAATGCAGTAATGAATATTATCTATAGATATAAAATACTTAATATGACATTATGTTGGTAGTCTCATATGACTCCTGACTGAGCTAGGAGCCTGACCCTGATTGTACAAAACTTGGTTAGAGTTAGCCAGTACGAGTACAACACAATCAGCAACATCTTAATTATGTTATTTCACTGTTATACATTTGTTGAGACAGATTCAATTTATGTGCTTTGAGGATGTATTTGCATTGATAGCCCCTGTTTTGTTTTGGCAACAATTTGAATTTTTCACTAACCACTGGTTAAAATGGACCAACCTTTCAGTAGTAGGGACCTGGACTTTAGTCAGGAGTTGTTCGGTGGTTTGAGCCTTGATTGGTCATATAACAGAACTGAAAACTGAGAAAATGGACTGTTCATGGAAATATTTATTTACAAGGAAACAACTACACTTTGTACATACACGAGTCACACAAACTAATACACACTTTTTAACATCTAGATACCGCGTAGCATCACTCGGCCAACTGTGTAATTGAGATTCTATGAACTTCCCTACATTTCAAGAATCAAGTTGTTTGGGTTTTCTGCATTGTAACAATTTTCAATACTGTATGAATCATTAAGAGAGTTCTGTGTTGTCAAACTTGTCTGTTTGTGAACTAGTGAGCACAATTACTGAATTTCGAGGAATTACATTCGTTAGTTATGTTGTGTGTTTCAGACTGACATACAAAATGCAACAGGAACTTGAATATAACTTTGGCCAGATGGGAATGTATGAGCAGGCGTCTACAAGGAAGCTGCCCCCGTCCGTCGCCCCTAAACCTCGCAGGAACAACGATGCACCAGCTCCATATAGACCAGGTATTACATGGTTTGTTACTGTGGTTTTATGAATGCTTCACCTCCGAGTAGTGTATCACAGATAGTACCAGCCTATGTAGCTAGGAAGTATGGAAGTACTAAACAAGATTTAAAATCTAAGTTTCTTCTAGATCTTTTAATGACCTAGACCCTGGAAGTCACACAGCATGTCAATATTTATCCATGTAAGGCGGTTATGTCACTTTTCACAAAATCACATTCACCTTGCTCAATGTTTTATGATTTGCAGTATACATGTATGTTACTTTGTAGTATGATTTAATGTTCAGGGTCTGCAACTACAAAAATCTAAAAACTCTGTAACAACATGTATAAAAATCTGCTGATGTCTTCAAAATAATTCTATAAAGTAAGTTCACTGTATCTCAAGTATTTTCTGTTGCTTGACTTGCTATGGTCAAATCAATACTGGATACCTATATATAGGTATAGCATCTGGAACATCAAATGATCTCACTCGTTAAGCACACAGTGATCAAAGGTTACAGAAACCACTATAGCATCCCACTAACTGTTTGTATGCAAATGAAAATAGAAATGATGAGCAACAACACCACTGAATCCTATAGAAAATGTAATGTTTGATTTACATGCATCCTAAGTGCTACGCAAGACAGCAATCTGTTCAAAATGTATCAATTGTGCTTTTACAAATTATAATTACACAGCTGAGTTAGTGTTTTCTGCTTCAATGGTTTAATAAAAATTTCATGAAAATAACAATACCCAATTTTTGTTTGTCTTTTAGGAGCCAGCACATACCGACAGTTCAACCCTCCAGATGATGATTTTCCTCCCCCTCCACCACCTCAGCCTGCCTATTCGGATGATGTTCTGGCGTACCCTCCTCCTCCCCCTCCTGAGACTGCGAGGGATTACGATGGTCAGGAAGATTACCTTCCACCTCCACCTCAGGTGTCTCAGGTCCCCCAGGCCAAGTCTGGTTTATATGGACGTCAGTCCCCTGCCAATGCTGGATACAGTTCCGGGACGTCCCCAGGAAATACAGGTTACAGTACCGGAACTTCCCCAGGAAATACAGGGTACAGCTCGGGGGCATCAACTTCCCCTGGATATAGCGGCCAAACATCTCCCAGATATGGTAGCCACTCGGCACCCAGATATGCACCCCAGTCACCTGACCGGTCATCAGGACGCACGCCATCACCTGCCTACAACACTTCCGCCTACAGCCCTCCTAACAGAGGCCCAGAGGGACAGACTGAGTACACAACAGTATTCCAGGGTGGCAGACAGTCCCCTCAACCCTACTCCCAGTCCCTTAGGACTGCGTCCCCTGCCGGACGCACATCTCCATATGGCTCTAGTAACTATGCAAACCTGCCAGGATACTCCTCTGTGGCGCCCACACATCAACAGGAGCAGCCAATTTATGCGAGGCCCATCAGCACCAGCTCGGAGGGCTTTACACCAGCGTACAATCAGGTAATGCAATAAAAGATACACCTACTAGCTACCTCTGAAAGAGAACTTGATAAACAAATTGTGATCATTGCAGTTCTTAATGATGCTATCTCCAATACCAAAATTTGTTTATGTGATTTGAACATCTATGCCCAGTTGTTGGACATCTGATAAGTTTAAAGAGATGTACACATACATTTTCTTAATGTTTTTAAAAAACGTTTGTATTGTCATTAAGTACTGTATACTTGCTTATAGTCATGAGGGTTTTAATTTTGCTCAGTTCACAAATGTATCAAGATTCGCGAGCTTTTGTACCTATATAATACATATAACATTGGAGACTAGTTGAAAGTCTTATTCACAAAGGTTTCCAGATTCTACAGAGCTCTGTTAGTTTTGTAGTACTTTGTCCTTTAGAGTAGTAGTGCATGTATTTGGAAAGAACACACTTGTCAATGTAGCTTCTGTATGATAGCTCGGAGGCGAAGATGACCGACCGCTGCCTGGTCCACAGGTCGCAGCAGGAAAGAGTCCATTGTTAGAACCGGTCAGTCCGACTCAGCCCTCTAGTGGAAAGGAAGCTGAGGTAGATGCCTTGACCAACCTCCTGATGGCAAACATGGAGTCTACTAAGGAACCTGATTACTTTGGTAGGTTGTGTTTGGATGTGACACACGGATATGCTGCTCATAGTGATAGGGTTGCAAGGCAATCTTTATTAAAAGTTTAAGGCCAAATAAAATTACATGTGTTTCCTAGGGCTGAAACGATATATCGTGCTATCTGTTTTAACATGGTGAGTGAAGCTCCAGCTACGCATGCCATTGAAAGACATAAATTGTATAAAACTTTTTATGTCATGACAATTTTGGACCAAGTCTATTTCCAGTTGTAATATTGCCTTTAAAGATTTGCAACATATCTTTTTGCTTTGCTTTTACTGTTTACGTACTTTATGTATCCTGATACGTATTGTATTGTCATGTATATGTTAATGTATCATTACAGTCCTAGTGTTTCCTATATGCGTTTACTATTCCTAGGGAGAATAGGAAACGCATATTTAAATTCATTTGGCGTTATTTTCCTAGAAAAAAGGTAAAAATATGTCTTTTGCTCACGACTTGTTCTGTTTATGATTTGAGTTTAAAGTAGAATGAGTATAATATGACTTGGGCATGGCCTGGAGAGAGCGAAGCTCGTACATTTGTTTCGATAGTAAAGTATAATTTTTGAATCATAACATTACCCATTTTAATACATACAAAATGTACCTGTATTTTTTTTTTCATATATATATAATATATTTGAATCAGTTGCTGGGCAAAATCACTCATTTTGAAAACAGGCATTGCCTGAAACGAGCGAAGCGTATAAATGCTGTTTTTTTCAATCTTTTTTTCTAAATAACATTATTTAAAATAATATCTATTTATTTGTTTTATAGCGATAAAGTAATTAATGTAAAATTAATAATTAGTAAAGAAAAACATTCGAATGAATTGCATTTAGTACTGTTGCATTTAATTGCCCCGTCTATGGCCTCAGCGTAATGTTGCGGAAAGAGTGAGGCCCAGTAGAGGGACTTCATATTTGAAAATGTAATGTTTATCAAATATAACTGTTATTATCTGTTATTATTGTTATTAATATTGAAAATTTCATCAATGGGTCATTTTAAGGTTTAACTAGTCCCTTATGAATAATTTGATTGGAATAGTTGAATATTAGTTGGGTATTTTTGAAATTTTAAGCTTCCCAAGGATAAGGGGATGGTGTAAATTCAAACCCTGATAGCAAGTAACTGCCCTTTGACAGGTAATTTAGGTTTCAATATAAGTTAGCTTATCCATAGCAATTTGTTTGGCTAGTAGCATCAGTGCTGAATATTCAGTAGATCATTGGTGCGTTTGATGTTGTAGGGATGTGCAGTAGGTGTGGCAAGAAGGTGATGGGAGAGAACAATGCCTGTACCACCAACGACCAGGTCTATCACATTGCCTGTTTCACCTGTCTAGGCTGTGGTGAGTTTATCTATAGAGTTATGTCCCTTAGAGAACAATGCCTGTACCACCAACGACCAGGTCTATCACATTGCCTGTTTCACCTGTCTAGGCTGTGGTGAGTTTATCTATAGAGTTACGTCCCTTAGAGAACAATGCCTGTACCAACAACGACCAGGTCTATCACATTGCCTGTTTCACCTGTCTAGGCTGTGGTGAGTTTATCTATAGAGTTATGTCCCTTAGAGAACAATGCCTGTACCACCAACGACCAGGTCTATCACATTGCATGTTTCACCTGTCTAGGCTGTGGTGAGTTTATCTGTAGAGCTACGTCCCTTGGACTCGTGCATTACGTTAGGACATGATAGCGTTAAGTTATCAAAATGAATGAATAATTGTAGCCAAAATAATTGACATTTGTGTTTGTTTTCCAATATTCACTATAATCATAATCATATATTTGATTTTGTGTCGCATGACATTGTTAATATTTCTCTACAACAACTTTTGCTAATTGCAAACATATTTATTAGGATCCTTGTGATTTAGATTGGCTTTACATACATTTTTCTGTGTTCTCCTGCGGGTAGATCTGCATACATTTTTCTGTGTTCTCCTGTGGGTAGATCTACATACATTTTTCTGTGTTCTCCTGTGGGTAGATCTACATACATTTTGCTGTGTTATGATAGCATCCTACGTACATATCTGAAAACATATTTTGGATAATTTAGGAACCATGCTGAGAGGGAAATCATTTTATTCCATGGACAGTAAACCTTACTGTGAAACCTGTTACCTGGTAAGTGTGTCTTCTTTGGCTACTTTTTAACCATAACTATTGGGTGTTTGTCATTCATGTTGACAGGATAGTTCTATCAAAATACAGGCTACGGCACTGATGATGGAATGGCTATCATCTCTGATTTTAAATGGGGGTGGGGGTCAGTAAAATCTTGTACATTTGGAAATGAACTTTCAAGTTTTATCGGACTGACATGTTTGACAGCAGTACACACACTTGTCCTGTTTATATTCTGGCACCTTCGATACTCTAGGGGTAACACACTCACTTATGCTCTCTGCAACCCTGGAACATGTCCTAGCTATATTGAAGGCACATTGTTAGGTATTAGATTAGTCTCAGGTAAAAAAAAAAACGACCAATCACAAGGTTGATACTTGTCCTTTAGATGACAGAGACGTGACACCCAACACCGAAGCAAGTCGATTTTACCATTACGCGGCCGAGAGATTCTTTTGATGTACATAAAAGGATCAACTAGTCTTCTTGTCTCATCATTGAGCCTTCCACTTTATCATGACATAATGCAGGGGTGATAATAGTGTAAGTGAGCGTAACCCCTGGAGTATCGAGAATGATATTCTGGCACTGTATGAATGTCCAATAAATCTTATCAAAATTATGATGACGTTTTTTTCCTACAATTCGTGAGGTTGATGAACAATTATTGTATTACTTTAAAAACAATTTTGTTGTAGAACACACTGGAGAGATGTTCTGTATGTTCCAAGCCAGTCACAGACCGTGTAAGTAACCAGGATAAATCTATTTACATGATCCTGCTGTTCTAGTAACAAAACATCAAATGTTCCTGCTTTTCAGAGAATGTCGTAGTAGTAGGAACAAGAGCGGGTTTCATGGTTTTGTCAGGAGTGTTCATTGTAGTCAGACAGAGGAACAAATTAAATAAAGCAAATTTAATTACGCTTAATGACAAAGGACAGGTATACAACTTCAGTCACATGATGGTTATAACAACACAGCAGTCGCCAAACATGGTATTTGAGCCTGTTCAGGAGCCAAGTAATGTGTTGTGTCGATGGTATCGTAAAATGTTGTGTTCCATCTATGATAGAGTACAGACTGCCACATCACTTCCCTGTTTTAAAATACATAGTGTTCACAGTCAAGGTCAAAAGGGATCAACAATGATATCATACAATTGTCAGGGATGTGCTCGCACCAGTGAAAACAGGCTAACAAATACTTCCTGTCCACACTATAGAGTACATATAACCAACCCTTATATAACAATCTAAACTGTCAGGAGCTTGTAAATAAACACCGCTGTGATCATTTACTACCATTCTCAATGCCATAGTACTACATTATTCTGGATTCATAGCCCTGAGAGTTATATTTCCTGGTCTTCAACGTAAATTTATTTCAGTCTTTTTGGATATTTCTCATATATTGCATTTTGAAAAATTTGCATTAATGAAGACAAGTGAGTTCAAACAGCCAAATGCTCAAAAACCTTGTTGCCACCTTATAAGAATAGCTTGTAAAATTACACTGGAAGAAATACTTTGATTGAACATTAGTTGTAAACAGATTAATGATGATAATGTAATAATGGTGCGAGTTATTATGTTTCAGCTGCTGCGAGCCACAGGTAAACCGTACCACCCCGGCTGTTTTACCTGTGTAGTGTGTGGTAAGAGTCTGGACGGAGTACCTTTTACTGTAGACGCTACCAACCAAATACATTGTATTGAGGACTTCCACAAGTAAGTTAGTCAGGATTAAATTACTTCTGAAACTGCCTTGTTATATTTTATTTTTCTTTCTCAAATCAAAAATTCAGATTAAGATATTTGATTCAGTATTTAAGGTATGTAGCCCACAGTATAATTCAATACATCAGTAATTTGTTCATTCATACTATGTATAAATACAAATAGTATACTATTAGAATGAGAAAACAGTACTAATTTTGTTTTCACACCTCGGCTTGCCATATACTTTGTTTTTAAACTTTTAGCTCTGAAATGAAAAGCTGCTATCATATCACTCTATGCATGAATTAAGCCATTTTTGTCTCGCCACCACAAAGTAGCTATAGCAAGGTTTTGCTTTTCCGGCGACGGCTTCACCGGCGTCAACATTAAGTTTTTGCGTTTAAGTTACTTTCACTGAAAGTAAAGTGCTAGACAAACCAAACTTAGACCATAGATGCGTCTTAGGTAGTACGTCTCAACCCATGCATCAAATGCTGGATGCGGCCGACCTTTCAGGGTCCATTGACTTTGTAAGCCTCTTGTCCATAAGTCAACATTACGTTTTTGGGTTTAAGCTAGTCTCTCTGATATGTGAATTGATGGTCAAAGCTTGGCACAGGCGAGACATATTAATCTGAATGGCTTGTTATAGTTTAAAACCTATAGCTATCCTTGGGAAAAAATCTCCTTACATTAGTATAAAATGAACATATAGAGCCTGTATTTCAGATGTTTCTATCTTATTTTTGGTGCTCAGGTGCTAGACTAGTGCAGACTAGAAATTGACTTGTCTAAACGTAACAACTTGTCTGAATTTCCCTCTTTGTTCACATAAATATAGTTCATTAAGTTTCATATAGTTTCATTAAGAAACAATCATTTATATTTTATTTCCTTTTTCCAGAAAATTTGCTCCTCGCTGCTGTGTATGTCAGCTGCCCATCATGCCTGATGTAGGACTTGAAGAGACTGTGAGAGTGGTTGCTATGGACAGGAGTTTCCATGTCCAGTGTTACCGCTGTGAGGTAGGTATTGTTTGCTATGGACAGTAGTTTCCATGTCCAGTGTTACCGCTGTGAGGTAGGTACTGGTTGCTATGGAAAGGAGTTTCCATGTCCAGTGTTACTGCTGTGAGGTAGGTATTGTTTGCTATGGACAGTAGTTTCCATGTCCAGTGTTACCGCTGTGAGGTAGGTACTGGTTCACTATGGACAGGAGTTTCCATGTCCAGTGTTACCGCTGTGAGGTGGGTAGTAGTCACATTGGACAGGATTTTCTTGTGGCTGTGTATATTGTTAAGGTTTGTAATTATCTCCCCTTAGCCTGTCAATAAAACTTGGATCTATGCTAGCTGTAGAGTGATCCTTGAAGAGTATAAATCTACATTCATTTAAGTACAGCTGGGATGTCACTTTGGACTGTTAACCATTAATAGGTATAACAAGATACTATTTCACAAACAGAATTTACCTAAGTTCTCATTTATGACTTCAATAAGGATTTAGTGTATGACCATACTGAAGAGTTGATGACTGTTTAGACTGACTCGACCAATAATGTTTCAGTCTGCAGTCCTGTCCAGAATTATAAGACTAATACTATGAACAGAATAAAGTTAAATACTTGAATTGATATTTTTCACAGATTTTGACATAATTTTAAATAGAACAGCCAACAGCCAGTCTTAACTAGCTATTTCACCTTTATTGTTATGATTAACATCACAATCACTCCTCCAGAGAGTTGTGGTCACCTACCTCACAGCTGATTTTGGTAGGAAAATGACTAATGTTCTTGTTTATAAAGCTGCTGTACTAACAGTCAATGACATATTCTTGTTTTTAGGATTGCGGTTTGCTGCTGTCATCGGAGGCTGAAGGCCGGGGATGCTACCCTCTGGACGAACACATACTGTGTAAGAACTGCAATGCCAAGAGGATACAGAACATGACCACTAAAATGACCACAGAGTTATAACTGGACGCAGCCAGGACACCATCACCTTGACGACAGACAAACAATGTAAATGGAGTTAAATATTTTCCTGAGGACAACTTGATGACAAAGGAACAAAATTGATGTGAATGGACGAAGGTGAGGACAACTTGATGACAAAGGAACAAAACTGATGTGAATGGACAAAGGTTGGACATCGACTCGAGTTCACTTTGTCTGCAGATGTACCGTATTGATGTAAATGAACAAAGGTTTGACATCGTGCTATGGTCAAATTGATGGCATATGTGGAATATATTATATTGTGACTGCAAATAAACAATATTTTTATAAATGGAAGAAGGCTGGATATTTTCTGGGATTGCCTGACAGGACAGGAACGATATAATGACAGTTTTGTTGATTTATGATTAGAAAGAGGTTGATTGTAACTCTGAGCTCACCAAGACTATGGATATGTTGAACACATCAATGCCACAATATTGTAAAGTTATAATCTGAAAGAATTAGTTGATACCAGTAAGATTAAGGCAAACAGATTTTTTAACAGGGTGACTAAATGTAGATTTTGTATGCTTGGGAAAAATACCTTAGAATTAAGCTATTGTGCAATTTCACAAAATGAAAATTTTGTAGATTTTTTGTTTGTAATTTAGATCAAATGCATTTAGTAAAAGCTATCTTTGATGCGACTATTGGATCTGTAGTTATACTCAATGTATGTACTTTGTCAATGATCAGTTGATGATACTGCATACTGGGGAATTGTCGCTGTACTTTAATTTTCACCTTTTTCGCCCAGGGTAAATATTTGACTGGGCGAAAGATTTCCTGTCTACAGTATTACATGTGTAGAGCATCTTACACCAGGGTTTATTTTGTATCAACAAAATATATATAGTATGCCCTAAAGCTTTTCACTAGTGGCATAGACATTTATACAAAACGTTTCATATTCAGATTTACTCTAGTTTAAAATGTTTATCATAAAAAAAATTTAAAGACTAAACTTAAATAAGATATTAGTATTTATACTAGTTTAAGATTCTGTTTATCTTATGATACACAACTTAAGCAAGATATTCATATATATACTATGTTTAGATTCTATTTATCCAACGAGACTGACCTTTAGCAAGATATGAAGGTTTACGCTAGTTTAAGATTCTGTTTATCATATGATCCTAAGCTGAAGCATGATATTCAGATTTATGCTATTTAAGATTCTATTCATCCAACAAGACTGAACTGATCCAGATATTAAGGTTTAACCTAGTTTAAGATTCTGTTTATCACATGAGACTAAACTTGAGACATGCAGATTCACACTTGCAAGATATTTTGTTGGAAATGATACCCTGCTAAACAGCATTACCGGTATTGGAGAAAATGGTTTTATTTAAACTTATACACATAATTACGTTCCAACTTTCCAATGACGTTTCAGTCATGAATTGATGCCAGTCAGTTTGTTCAAACCAAATATCACACAAAGGGCTACAGATATCATATGTTGTCATGTGGTGGAATGACACCTTTTGTGTAGTTATATATGTTACGTAGAGACAATCAGAAACCGAGATATGTAGTGCTTACAGTATTACTACTATTAACTAACAATGTCCTTACTTGACTGATGTTGTATTACAGTATATCAATTGATAATTAATTACTGAGGGTACAGTTGCTGTTGATCTTGTACACTTTTGATAAACGATTCCCCCAAATAATACAAGTCGGCACATTCCATACTTTTTCATGATCAAGTTGAGGTACTTTCCTTTTAATAACAAACAACTAGAGCAGTGCTCTACCAAAATTAAAAGAATTTCCAATAGCAGATCATAGTAATAAAATGTCAGACAGTCCATCATCTACCACTATGCTTGTCTTAAGATATCCAAACATCTACAGATGGGGTCGGTTTGGTTTGTTAAGATGGCACATACCACCAACTGTCTTTTTAAGATAAGCAAACACCTATCACTAGATTTGTTAAGATGGCCAAACACTTACCACTAGAAATTACTTAAGATGGCCAAACACCTGCTACTAGAACTGTCTTACGATGGCCAAACACTTATCAGTAGAACTGTCTTAAGATGGCCAAACACTTACCTCTAGAAATGTTGTAAGATGGCCAAACACCTGCTACTAGAATTGTCTTAGGATGGCCAAACTTTTACAAGTAGGACTGTCTTAAGATGGCCAAACACCTGCTACTATAACTGTCCCTAAGATGACCAAATACTTACCACAAAAATTGTCTTAAGATAGCTAAACACTTACCAAAAAAAATGTCTTGAGACAGCCAAACACTTACCACTAGAAATGTCTTAACATAGCCAAACACTCACCAGAAGAAATGTTTCAAGATGGCCAAACTCTTACCACTAGAACTGTCTTAACATAGCCAAACACTTACCAATAGAACAGTCTTAAGATGGCTAAACACTTACCAATAGAACAGTCTTTAGATGGCAAAACACCTACAAACAGACCTTCTTCGATTAAGGAGGGATGTATTCTACATTAATGTACAGAGAATCAATTTTTGTAAGTTATTTTGTTTTATGTATGTTTTGTGGAGGGTACTACTTCGCTTTTGTTAATGTACCTATAACTGCAATTTAATTTGATTTTGCGCTGCTTTCCTTGGCCCATTTTATTATACTGTATTTCGTATTCTGATCTGTATGATTTTTAAACTTATTTGTATCACCCTGTGTCAACATGTACCAGTGCTTAGCATGCTTATACATTTTGTTATTTATTAATAAAACCAACTATAATTGACAATGTTATTTTACTACAAAATATATATATATATTGTTAAATCAGTCATCATGGATTGAAGTTTATGATTTTACAGTGGAACCTGTGTACTTCAGACATCTTGGCCTGTATTCATGAAACCTTTCTCATGCTCAAGCATGAATTCTGTGCTCAAGCCAACTCACTTAAATCATAAAACACGGTAAAAAAGTCAAGTGGAATCATTGAAAATAGTATTCGGCTTAAAGTCTCTCCAAAATTCTACCATATTATTGACAAAATAGGATTTCTTTATCACTTTATCACGTTTGAGCATGAGAATGGTTTCATCAATATGGGTCTAGATCCTTCTGTACAGAGTAGAGTGTAACATGATTTAACCGATTCAATTAACATAGAGATGTTGTACTTCAGTTATTGACAGACACACTACCATGAATAAACAGGTTCAATTAACATAGAGATGTATACATTACAACCGAAATTGTAGACACGAGTTATCGTAAAAGTGGAAACTCTTGCATATGGAAATGTTTGTATTGTGACCCTTATATGTTCCTGTTGGCAATGGTTCTGTTGTCTATTTATTTTATATAATTGTTTATAATCTTTAAATAAATATTTGTTTGGGCATATTTCCGCACTAATTTACTCAATGAGTTAAACTCTCGCATTTCAACACTGCAAACATTTCTACTTTTACAATATACAAGGTTTAATCAAGTCATGATCACATTGTCAATATCATGGGTATGTTGTATAAGCGACAAGATTGGGTGACATTTTGTATAATAACCATTGTTACTGCGTATGTTGTATATGATGTAAAATGCTAGCCTTATGATTATGTAACGACTGAAGCAAAAGTTTGCAATAACTATTATATATAATATTTTGAAGTAAAATAACAGTACTGTTTGTGCTATAGAATATTAGTGCTTCTCGTATCCCTCATTTTACCATCCTCGTTTTCTTTTCATTATTTTATTGTATTTTCAGTTTTTGATTTTCGTCCGGTTTCTGTTTTATTTTGTTCTGTACACTCATAACATAGACATCAACAAAACTATACATGACAAACTGTGTAATATTTGTATATGCTCTGTGTTGAATTTGCAACCTCGTTAATGTTTCATGTCTTATAAAAGACTCTCTGGAAAGAAAATAGATCTGAAGAATTTATGGTCTTACCTGTGTAGCTGAACTGGACTGGGTCGATTGCGAGCAACCAGGTAGCTCAATTGGTTAGATTATCCATCAAAGAGTTCAGAGGTCAAATGCTTGAGTCCTGGTCAAAGACTTTGTTGAAGAAGGGAGGAATATAGTGGACAGGACTTGGTCACCAGCAATGGACCAGGTAATTAGATAGGTTAGAGCGGCCATCTCTAGTTTGGAGGTCCAGGGTCGACAGGACTTGGTCGATCGCTGGTGACCAGGTAGTTGGATTGGTTAGAGCAGCGATCTCGAGTTTGGAGGTCCAGGGTCGACAGGACTTGGTCGATCGCTGGTGACTGGTATGATTGATAACCCTAACAGTGAAGGTCTTTGAAGAGGGATGGCTACTTATATGATGTGTGAGGAAAAAAAATCAAAAAAACTTGCACAACATTTCAACACTGACTGTGTCAAAGTATTTATTGTATGTCCCCTTGACAAAGGTACCTGTCAGTATGGAGTGATGATAAGGTACACTCCGACTATTTAAGCATAATTTAAATTTTTCTTCTTAGCAGTGTATCACTCCAAACTGATGAATCTTTATCATAAAAAAAGGAATGGCTGTTATATCAAAACCAGTGTATGCTCTATTCTGTTATATGTACTGTGTATCATGTTAGCTTTGTACCATCACATTACTACACTTTATCATTGAGGATCCGCAACAACGAGCTGTTAACTTTATGTTGTCAATAAATAGCGTTATTAAACTTATATCTTTGTACAGTGTTATTTTTCTGTGTCACTGTAGGTATATCTGACATTGTTCCCTATAAATCTGTTGGTGAACGGTTAATTTGGTCCTTCGCCACTGTCTCTCTGCTTTTCTACGGTTCTGTTTTAAACAGTCTCGATAATTCAGCGAACTTCATCTCCAGCTCAAGTGTCTGGTTCGTTAAATGACAGGGTAACTGGAGTAATTATATTCAGGGAAAACGACTATCTGTTCCCTGAAACACTGGCTGGGGAGGAACAATGGGATTAGTGGTGGCTGGATTATAAATAGGGTTGAGTTTATTAGTAATCCATCCTAGTTATCAGACATGGGAGATCCAAGGTCCTTTTGTTTTTGTCGTTAAACTTTCAAGAACTTTGGTCCAGAATTATGATATTTGTCCCCTGATTAGTACAAAAATGTCAAGAACAATACGTTAACTAAGTGATGTATTTTATAACATTTGACATAAACTTACAAAATGGTGTAACATAGAAGTACATGTATGAAGAGAATATCCATGATATCAATAATAACACTACACACAAAGATATCACATTATATGGAAAAATACAGTTTATTAATTTAATTCTAGTTATGATGACCACTGAACATGATATCACTGCTATATTCCTGCATGTAAGGTGTTACCTAAGCGCTAAATCATGATGCATGTTACTTGAAAATTGTTACCAATGTGCAGAAAATAAGACTATATTTATAGTATTTCATAAACCCACTTCAGGAGAAATGGATTAGTGTGAAGGCTGGATATTGAGCGTGGATAGTGTTATAATTGGATTAGTGATGGCTGGATAAATGAGACTTGCAGTAGTGATCCTCTGTGTTTGAAAATCACCTTTTCTCTCCTGTTTCACTTTCAGTATGAACTTCACAATGACCTTGAGCTGGCAACACAACCTGTGTGGAGGAGACTGATGGCTGATGTCTGATTGTCCTTGGAGAGTTAGCTATAGAAGAGTTTGGAGAACATGGTGTCATGTGTGTTCTGGAAAACGTCCACCAGGGGGTTTAATAGGCAGGTCTCGTCTGTACTGCGACTCTGGTGCCTGTCAAATTAAAAATATAATGTTTGTGACATCAACGCTTTGTTAAAATAAGTTTTGGTATATTAAAAAAAAAGGTTTCAATACTGAATTTAATTATTTTCTATATAGTACTCCTTAATTATATACAGTAAAACCTTGATATAAATCCATTGGCTTATATGGCCAAAACTTGATATAATGTCCCTCATTTGTATACAGTAAAACCTCATTCCCATGTTGACAATAAAATCTTGATATAATGCCCTTTGTCATTTGCCACTCCACTTACTGCAAACATCTTTCAAGGTCTAGCTTGATTTTAATTACCTAACAATTTATAAATAAAATTCCTCAAAGTATTGCCAAACATTTATATAGTTGTTAGTATAAAGATGGAGGCAATATAATGAGATTTTACTGTACACATCATATCCAGTATTATTAATATAGTACAGTACATAATGATAGTATAAGACTCTTTCAACACCTCAATTTTAGCCTTAATGTTGAGCATTGGCCCAGGTGAGGAAGGCAATGGGTTCTGTCCCCATGCAAGGAAATATCAAAGTACGTTAAAACGGTAGTTGTTATTCCCTGCTTAACGTTCAGTATTTAGGGGAATGACAACAACTGGTTCACTCGTTGTCAGTATAATTTGAGGAGGCAAGCACATCAACATACCCTGTCCCATGCATACACACACGCAAGCGTGCAGACACTACACGCATGGAGGCACGTCCTTAAATGAAATTGGCTGTTAATAGGACGTTCAATAAAATTAAACCAAACCAAACTCTTTCATGCCCAGGGGTGTAGGATTGAAAAATTCTATTCAAAGGGTTTTCAAATTTGGTAAAACCTAGGCTCTATCTTACACACGCGGAAATGAGAGAAATAAACATTTGATACACAAGTGTACATAACATAGACCCCACCAATATTGAGATACACATGTGTACATAACATAGGCCCCACCAATATTGAGATACACTAGTGTTCATGACATAGGCCCCACCAATATTGAGATACACTAGTGAACATAACATAGGCCCCACCAATATTGAGATACACTAGTGTGCATAACATAGGCCCCACCAATATTGAGATACACTTGTGTACATAACATAGGCCCCACCAATATTGAGATACACTGGTGTACATAACATAGGCCCCACCAATATTGAGATACACAAGAGTACATAACATAGGCCCCACCAATATTGAGATACACAAGGGTACATAACATAGGCCCCACCAATATTGAGATACACTTGTGTACATAACATAGGCCCCACCAATATTGAGATACACTAGTGTACATAACATAGGCCCCACCAATATTGAGATACACAAGTGTACATAACATAGGCCCCACCAATATTGAGATACACTAGTGTCACCTTTCAAGGATTTCTGGAATTCTTGACTGCAGTTCTGTTTGGACAACTTGTGCCTGAAATAAGTACATACATAAGCTTATTATCTTGAAAAAGTATATTTATATATAGAGGATATTTAATGGTGTCTTCAGTAATAACAAATATATATTTCATGAGTGCGGCTAATATTTTTATATTTATCACGAGTGCGCATAAAGCAGAGCTAATAGCACTATCATCTATCTATTGGTTCATCATACAATACAAAGTAATGATGGGTTGATTGGTGAAACTTTTGAGTGAGTTTGATTCACAAAATCATGAAGTCAAGCACTTATAAAACACATTTCAAAATCAAACAGTATTTGGTGCAGTTACAATATTTGGTATTATTATTAGTTTCAGTATTTCATATACTGCATGTACATAGTTACAGTAATTGGTTTAGTTACAAGCCCCAATTTAATAAGCATTTCTTAATTTAAGGACATTTCTGAACCTACAAAATGAAAAAGTTTTTGCCAGGGGAAATCTTTGTTGGGACTAATTTGTTTTCCTTAACTCTAGCAATGCTTTCAAAAGAAAATCACTGGATTTAAGAAATACCCATGAAACTGATATTTGTCAGTAGATTATTTGATATATTACCTGGATTGCCCCAATTTGGTCCAGTCTGACTGCTGCCGCGACAACTGTGCGTAGAGAGCTGAAAAGGTAGGTTGTGAGCGTGGTGAACAGGTCAACCCCCATAGCCCCACACACACAGCCAAACACCACGGAATGATGGCAGTACTCCAGGGACCCCTTCAACTCCAGAATCTGCTCCACACGGAAAGCCTTGCTACTGGTATCCAACAGTGATCGCCCCTGAGGTCAAGAGGTCAAACAAATCTTATATGTACCAAGAAATCCTGAGGTCAAGAGGTCAAGCAAGACATACATGCATAGAAAAAATTGCTTCATTATAATTGTATGTATCATTAATTATGTACAGATTTCTCAAGGCAGGGACCCCTTTCCCTCCAGAATATTGTCTTTAATGAAGGCATAGTTCAGGTTAATTTGAGAGGAGTAAAGTGGGGAGAAGTTTGCCCCTACCTTTTCAATAAAAACATTGAAAGTTCCCAACATGTCCTTTTGTCTATTTCCAGTACTGACTCACCTGTCTGACACTTGCTCTGTTAGCAACATGTCCTTTTGCCTATTTCCAGTAATGACTCACCTGTCTGACACGTGCTCTGTTAGCCACATGTCCTTTTGCCAATTTCCAGTACTGACTTACCTGTCTGACACTTTCTCTGTTAGCCACATGTCCTTTTGCCAATTTCCAGTACTGACTTACCTGTCTGAAACTTGCTCTGTTAGCCACATGACCTTTTGCCTATTTCCAGTACTGACTTACCTGTCTGAAACTTGCTCTGTTAGCCACATGACCTTTTGCCTATTTACAGTACTGACTTACCTGTCTGACACTTTCTCTGTTAGCCACATGTCCTTTTGCCAATTTCCAGTACTGACTTACCTGTCTGACACTTTCTCTGTTAGCCACATGTCCTTTTGCCTGTTTCCAGTACTGACTTATCTGTCTGACACTTGCTCTGTTAGCCGCATGTCCTTTTGCCTATTTCCAGTACTTACTCACCTGTCTGACACTTGCTCTGGTAGCCACATGTCCTTATGCCAATTTCCAGTACGGACTTACCTGTCTGACACTGGCTCTGTTAGCCACATGTCCTTTTGTCTATTTCCAGTACTAACTCAACTGTCTGACACTTGCTCTGTTAGCCGCATGTCCTTTTGCCTATTTCCAGTACGGACTTACCTGTCTGACACTTGCTCTGTTAGAAACATGTCCTTTTGCCTATTTCCAGTCCTGACTCACCTGGCTGACACTTGCTCTGTTAGCCACATGTACTTTTGCCTATTTCCAGTACTGACTCTCCTGTCTGACACTTGCTCTGTTCGCCACATGTCCTTTTGCCTATTTCCCGTACTGCCTCACCTGTCTGACACTTGCTCTGTTAGAAACATGTCCTTTTGCCTATTTCCAGTACGGACTTACCTGTCTGACACTGGCTCTGTTAGCCACATGTCCTTTTGTCTATTTCCAGTACTAACTCAACTGTCTGACACTTGCTCTGTTAGCCATATGTCCTTTTGCCTATTTCCAGTACTGGCTTACCTGTCTGACACTTGCTCTGTTAGCAACATGTCCTTTTGCCTATTTCCAGTTCCGACTTACCTGTCTGACACTTGCTCTGTTAGCAACATGTCCTTTTGCCTATTTCCAGTTCTGACTCACCTGGCTGACCCCTGCTCTGTTAGCCACATGTCCTTTTGCCAATTTCCAGTACTGACTTACCTGTCTGAAACTTGCTCTGTTAGCCACATGACCTTTTGCCTATTTCCAGTACTGACTCTCCTGTCTGACACTTGCTCTGTTCGCCACATGTCCTTTTGCCTATTTCCCGTACTGCCTCACCTGTCTGACACTTGCTCTGTTAGAAACATGTCCTTTTGCCTATTTCCAGTTCCGACTTACCTGTCTGACACTTGCTCTGTTAGCAACATGTCCTTTTGCCTATTTCCAGTCCTGACTCACCTGGCTGACACTTGCTCTGTTAGCCACATGTCCTTTTGTCTATTTCCAGTACTTACTCACCTGTCTGACACTTGCTCTGGTAGCCACATGTCCTTATGCCAATTTCCAGTACGGACTTACCTGTCTGACACTGGCTCTGTTAGCCACATGTCCTTTTGTCTATTTCCAGTACTGCCTCCCCTGTCTGCCACTTGCTCTGTTAGCCACCTGTCCTTTTGCCTATTTCCAGTACTTACTCACCTGTCTGACACTTGCTCTGTTAGCCTCATGTCCTTTTGCCTATTTCCAGTAATGACTCACCTGTCTGACACTTGCGCTGTTAGCCACATGTCCTTTTGCCTATTTCCAATACTGACTTACCTGTCTGACACTTGCTCTGTTAGCCACATGGTTTGCGGTACAGGCTTCACACAAACTGTCCAGTTCTATCAATTTATCACTCTCCAAGTATGCATCATGAGCTTCTCGTACAAATGGCAGGCAAAACGATCCTGCACAATTCAATTCAACATGGTTATAGTTCTGGTAAAGGTAAAAACAATACATTATAGCTGATGGAATCTTACTATAAAATGTATGAACTCATTGGATGGAAAGAGATGTGAAATTATAATATTAGCTTAGAATAAAATATGATACTCAGGACAAGCTGAAAGTGAAACAGGTTCCATTAATTTAAAAGTAACTTAACATCTTTGTTAAGAGTGAAATAATGACCTGAAAGTCAGGTGGTAAATTAATTGCTGTTTCAGTTATCTTTCAAGTATCGGCTGCCTTGTTACCCAGTGCAGGGAGATATAAATTGTACAGCTGTCGGGCACCTGGCTTGGTGGCCGTTTACATATGTCAGATAAGGTTAATTGATGACCTCTACGGACAAAGGGAGGCACAACTTTATTTCACGCCTATTTTCATCTGGTTATTGTTTAATTAATTGTCATGTAAAGGTATATTGAGAGTATCCTGTATGTAACAAGGCAGTTCCATTGAAAGCCTCTGAGCTAGGCACACGTCTACGCTTACCTTCAAGTCTAATACAAAATAGTATGTACCACACAATTGGAGTTTATTGTTTGTACTACAGTATCCGGGACACTGAGGGTAACAATCTTCTTCATCATCATCATCATCATCATCACCATATAATCATCATCATCATCATCATCATCATCATCATCATATATCAACTTACCAAAGTTTTCCAAGGAACACAATATGTAGTTTTTAAGTTCATCTGTAAATGAAAAGTCAAACTTGAATTCGGTGTAAAAAGCTTCCATCATAAAGCAAGGTTGACCCATAATATGTAACTTTTGTTACATTGAGTTCTTATTATATGTTCAGCATTGCTTATGAGGCCTTATACCTAGTTGTTGTTTACAGATAAAATGAAACCCTGTTTTTCCTCAAAATATTAACTGTTTTCAAAAAATTTAGAAATTTTGTTCAGAATTTTGTTTAACACTTCCTTACATATAAATATACCTTTCACAACAATTTAGTTCAAAGAAATTAAAAATATACCTTGTGTCTTCAATATTTTCTGTCTGACAGCTGTTTCTAGTCCCAGACTATGAGCAAATCCTCCTGTTGGAAAAACTGTCCAAAGAGAAAAAAGTATGGCATGAGGCTAGAAATCAATCAGTTTAAAAGATTAAATCAATCAGTTCTATTAGGCGAAATGATTACATGGATTAATATTACAATCTATAATAAATGTCCTTCCATCATTCGAAGGAGTAACTTTTCAAGCTTTTCAACCTGTTAAGTGAACTTTTCACTACCTATGTTAGTGTTTGAGTGGTTTTATGTCCGCTTCACTACTGAGTAGTTTGGTTATCCTGCAGTCTGCTATAATGATGCATGACACTATAATAAAATATTGATAGATTGCTATGTTCCTCACTCCTTTTTCAAATTCCTAACTCCTGAATACAACATTATTTACAACCCAGGTTTTAGTATAATTCCCAATTGCCAAGCAAACAATTGCACCCAGTTGCCCATATACTTCGCACATAAGGCTGCATTGGTCACAGGCACCACTAAGAGGCAAGGGAAATTAACACATTGCCAGACCAGGATGGAGGGATGGATATATCAAGTTTGTTCACATGAATGACCTTTACTAACTCTCAAGGCCAATGGGGTCAAATGTGTGGAAACTTAAAATTCTTCTACTAGATCCATGAAGCCTAGCATAATAAAATAGAGCATGCAATTCTTGCTATTGGGAAGGGCCATAAAGTTTGTTCAAATATAGGTTTCTGTCTTGACCATCTTTTTCTAGCTGTCACATTTGGGTGTGACATATACATGTTTTAAAAACATCTTCTTAAGATACCTTAGGTCCTAATATCTACATAAGTAATATTTGGTCTATAGCTTGTTTAAAGAAAACACTACCAACTTTGTTAAATTAAATGACCTTGACCAATTCTTTTCAACGTCATGTAAATTTTAAAAAGTTGAAATATTCTGTCAAGAACTGGCAAGGTCTACAGTTGTGATATCTAGCATTGTATGTTACTTTTTCTTGCTATTAATCAAATTTGTTGTGTTTGACCTGGGATGTATAATGAGTTTGCCAATCCCCTCTATATATACTGTCCCTGGTTTTACCTTGACATACTTTGAAGGTGACAGATTTTATATAAATATTTGGATTCTTGTTGCTATTCCATTATCTGTACAACCTGGCTCCGTGTTGAAGTTGTTGGCCTTCAATTAGCATGCCCCTGTGATCAGTGAAGATATGCTGAAATCAACGTAATAATGTGTCTGGCAAGCCCCTGTGATCTTGACATTGTGTATTGTTTCACCTACATGTATAATATCATGGGTGCTCATGATCATCAACCGATCATTTCGGACGTTTCTATCGTGCTGACTATCAATCTACTCACCACTGTCGGAAACCTGTAATACTGTTAATAAAGCAGAAGTCGGTACACTCATCTTGTCCTGCCGATTGTCCCGTTTTACCCGAAGGAGTTGACCTATAAAACAGAGTATCAAATCCTTTCACTGCAACCCGGCATGAAGGTAGCGTGGCCGAGCGGTCTAAGGCGCTGGTTTAAGGCACCAGTCTCTTCGGAGGCGTGGGTTCGAATCCCACCGCTGCCACTGATATTTTTCCTTATTTTTTCTTTATTTTTTTTCTTATAAATACCCGAACTCGGCGTTGTTGGATTGGTCATTATTCAATAGCTAGACTTTATCTGACACGAACTTAACGATACGGTTTTTTGAGGCAAAAGTGAAATCAAATATTCCTTAAATGCTTCTGAAACATTCCATGTGTATCAGATATAACCCGTTATGTTTTGGGCTCATTGGTGGTTCTCACTACAATGGCAGTAAATGCTTTGTCCTACATTTGTTCCAGATATGTGGAAGTTGTTTTAAGTGTTCAAGTTTATTTTAAGACATGGACAAGGTTTGGTCTTATAGAGGAGCGTCACGACCCACAGCCCCGGGACATTTGTATTCATTTTAATCGTGCTGTTATTAACGGTTTCTCAACACACAATAGATGTATGATAAGTAGAGTATCACGCATCACTGAGTATTACCGAGACGTAATATCTTAGATAAACATTACTGCAAAGTGAATTATTATTTCGCGCCGTTTTAATTATTATTCACATATAAGAAACATCAAGTACTTAAAATATCAGAAAATCAGAATTCGTTTCTGGAAAAAAGAATGGATATAAAATCGAAATAATGTTCTTTCTATCATCACAAAATGACAGTGTAGAGCTGGAATTGTAATCAACAAGTACGCCTTAACACAGAGACATTGATCAACAAGTACGCCTTAACACAGAGACATTAATCAACAAGTACTCCTAAACACAGAGACATTGATCAACAAGTACTCCTTAACACAGAGGCATTGATCGACAAGTACGCCTTAACACAGAGGCATTGATCGACAAGCTCTCCTTAACACAGAGACATTGATCAACAAGCTCTTCTTAACACATAGACATTGATCAACAAGTACGCCTTAACACAGAGGCATTGATCGACATGCTCTCCTTAACACAGAGACATTGATCAACAAGCTCTCCTTAACACAGAGACATTGATCGACAAGTACGCCTTAACACAGAGGCATTGATCGACAAGTACGCCTTAACACGACATGCTCTCCTTAACACATAGACATTGATCAACAAGCACGCCTTAACACAGAGACATTGATCAACAAGTACTCCTTAACACAGAGACATTGGTCGACAAGTACTTGTATAACACAAAGACATATAACACAGAGACATATAACACAGAGACACATAACATACGGACATATTACACAGAGACATATAACACAGAGACATATAACACAGAGACACAAAACACAGAGACATATAACACAGAGACATATAACGCAGAGACATATTACACAGAGACATATATCATAGAGACATATAACACAGAGACATATATAACACAGAGACACATAACACAGAGACATATAACACAGAGACATATAACACAGAGACATAAAACACAAAGACACAAAACACAGAGACATATAACACAGAGACATATAACACCGAGACATAAAACACAAAGACACAAAACACAGAGACATATAACACAGAGACATAAAACACAAAGACACAAAACACAGAGACATATAACACAGAGACATATATCATAGAGACATATAACACAGAGACATATATAACACAGAGACACATAACACAGAAACATATAACACAGAGACACAAAACACAGAGATACATAACACAGAGACACATAACATAGAGACACATAACATAGAGACACATAACACAGAGACATATAACATAGAGACACATAACACAGAGACATATAACACAGAGACACATAACACAGTGATACATAACACAGAGACACATAACACGGAGATACATAACACAGAGACACATAAAAAAAAAAAAAAAAAAAAAAACAAAGAGATACATAACACAGAGACACATAACATACGGACATATTACACAGAGACATATAACACAGAGATAGATAACACAGAAACATATAACACAGAGACACAAAACACAGAGACATATAACACACAGACATATAACGCAGAGACATATAACACAGAGACACATAACACAGAGATACACAACACAGAGACACATAACACAGAGACACATAGCACAGAGACACATAACACAGAGATACACAACACAGAGACACATAACACAGAGACATATAACACAGAGACACATAACATAGAGACACATAACATAGAGACACATAACAAAGAGACACATAACTCAGAGATACATAACACAGAGACACATAACATAGAGACACATAACAAAGACACACATAACTCAGAGATACATAACACAGAGATGCATAACACAGATACATAACACAGAGACACATAACATAGAGACACAGAACATAGAGATACATAACAAAGAGAAACATAACACAGAGACATATAACACAGAGACACATAACACAGAGACACATAACATAGAGACACATAACATAGAGATACATAACAAAGAGAAACATAACACAGAGACATATAACACAGAGATAGATAACACAGAGATACATAACACAGAGACACATAACACAGAGACATATAACACAGAAACACATAACACAGAGATACATAACACAGAGACACATAACATAGAGACACATAACACAGAGACACATAAGACACATAACATAGAGACACATAACAAAGAGACACATAACACAGAGATACATAACACAGAAACATATAACACATAGACACATAACACAGAGATACATAACACAGAGACATATAACACATAGCACAGAGATACATAACACAGAGACACATAACACAGAGACATATAACACATAGCACAGAGATACATAACACAGAGACATATAACACAGAGACACATAACACAGAAACATATAACACATAGACATATAACACAGAAACATATAACACAGAGACACATAACACAGAGACACATAACACAGAGACACATAACACAGAGACATATAACACAGAGACACATAACACAGAAACATATCACACAGAGACATATAACACAGAGACATATAACACAGAGATATATCACACAGAAACATATAACACAGAAACATATAACACAGAGACATATAACACAGAGATATATCACATAGAAACATATAACACAGAGACATATAACACAGAGACACATAACATAGAGACATATAACACAGAGACATATAACACAGAGACATATAACACAGAGACACATAACAAAGAGACACATAACATAGAGACACATAACACAGAGATAGATAACACAGAAACATATAACACATAGACACATAACACAGAGATACATAACACAGAGACACATAACACAGAGAAATATAACACAGAGACACATAACACAGAGACATATAACACAGAAACATATAACACAGAGACATATAACACAGAGACACATAACACAGAGATACATAACACAGAGACACATAACACAGAGACACATAGCACAGAGACACATAACACAGAGATACATAACAAAGAGACACATAACACAGAGACACATAACAAAGAGACAAATAACATAGAGACACATAACACAGAGACACATAACAAAGAGACACATAACATAGAGACACATAACACAGAGACACATAACACAGAGATATATAACACAGAGACACATAACATAGAGACACATAACAAAGAGACACATAACACAGAGATACATAACACAGAGATGCATAACACAGATACATAACACAGAGACACATAACATAGAGACACATAACAAAGAGATACATAACACAGAGATACATAACACAGAGACACATAACATAGAGACACATTACACAGAGACACATAACACAGAGATACATAACACAGAGACACATAACATAGAGACACATAACAAAGAGACACATAACACAGAGATACATAACACAGAGACATATAACACAGAAACATATAACACAGAGACACATAACACAGAGACACATAACAAAGAGACACATAACATAGAGACACATAACACAGAGACATATAACATAGAGACATATAACACATAGACACATAACACAGAGACACATAACAAAGAGACACATAACACAGAAACACATAACACATAGACATATAACACAGAGACACATAACACAGAAACATATAACACAGAGACACATAACAAAGAGACACATAACATAGAGACACATAACACAGAGACATATAACATAGAGACATATAACACATAGACACATAACACAGAAACATATATACTACATGTCTCTGCTTCACTACATATTGGAAACTGCGTTTCCGGAATGACTACAGCTTTAAGAGAAACAAAACCATAAACAAAAGATATTATAATCAATAAAAGTGTAAAATGTACTCCCCTATATATTTTACTCCCAACAACACTTTCTTTGAACCCTTTTGCACCTCTTTCCCTTCTTCCTCCCCCATCCTCTTCTTTTCCATATACTTATATATCTATATGCATAAAATTTGTCAGTGCCGTCCAATCGCCGTTTTTCACACACAAAAAAATGGACGGATTAACATAAGAACTTTGTGCTTGTTTTCGAATCCTATACACTGTATATGTATCATGTCTGCATTACTGGAATATCATACCGATAATAAAATAAAGTTTAAACTAATAAAAGTGTTCTGGGATTTCAAAAATCAACTAAAATAATTAGTGTACCTGAAGTAAGTATACATGTAAATTAAATAAAAAAACATAATGGCAAAATACTTTAGAACTAAAGTGCAAAAAAGGATCGAAAAAAAATAATGTCAAAAATCGTGATGTGTATTTTTTTTTTCTAACTTTAAGTAAGATGAAACTTAAGAGCAAACAATGCATTTAAGTATTTTTAGAAATTTTATTTTAGTCTGATTTTAGAAACGACCTTTTAGAAAATATGACGAAACTCTACTTTTTTAACAGATAAAAAAGGAATTTTAAATCTTGCTTTTATGTTAGAAATTCGATTTTTCATGTAAGTACAAATAATTATTCAAATAATCATTGACATCAAAGATGATTAACTGACATCAAATACATGTACGTATGATATTTTCATGTCAAAAATTCGAATATTTCAATATCAGAAATAGATTTTCGGATACAGATTTTATTTTATTATCAAAAATTCGTTTCGCTGATATCCGCAAATGAGAAATAAATAGTAAAATAGCGACCCATAAATTATTATCAATTATCGCGTTCAGTAGAAATTAAACAGCATCAATAATATATCATCCTTGATATCTAGGGGTTACGCTCACTTTCGCTCTCTGCCCCCCTGGAATATGTCATAGCGAAATTGAAGGCTCGGTGTGTCTTGTTGATGAGACAATGAGACTAGTTCGATCCTTTGATGTACATCAAAAGAATCTCGCGGTCACGTAACGGTAACAATTAACAGGCATTGAAGTCGGGCGTCCTTCCTTTGTAATCTTCAAAGGACAGGTATCAGCCTAGCGATTGGTCAGGTGTTTTTTTTACCTGATACCAATCAAACAGCTAACTTAGTGCCTTCAATTTTGCTATGACATATTCCAGGGGTGTAGAGAGCGAAAGTGAGCGTAACCCCTGGATATACACACATGTATCTAAATTCTATTGATTAAAGCTCTTATCTAAACTAAATGTAATATTAACGTAACAACACAATGTCAGTTTACATATCAACACTGAAAGAACCTGTAGTCTAAAGGAACATTTTTTTTAATAAATCCCAGTTCATTTGGAAATGAAAAAAATCCATTCAGTGCTCGAAAAAATCCCACTTCACAAAGCCCTGTGCGTGTATTTCAAGCGTGTGTGTGACAATGTCTTCCGGTTTGTGTGTGTATTAGGCCTAGGCCCTACGTGGGAAGCTGAAACCAAAGGTAGATCACTAGGTTAAGACAATCGTGTGCTTGTCACAGACCTGCTGACAAAGTTGAACACATGCGCGACACTGTTTGCACATTCTGAGCAGGTGCTCGCTTGTACTGTAAAGAAGTAACAAACTTATGACACCTACCATAATGACTCAAATAACTGCTTCATACATAGCGAGCATCTGTCCCTCGTTGGAGCATATGTATTTACATTAAATGTCACCAAGCAAGACTCGAAATTTCACAAACTCATGTCAAAATATTTTATAAATACTTGCAAAGGTGTTTGAAATTCTGACTGTAAATTGAGATAAAAATCATATAAAAATAAGTGTATTACTATAGAAAAACGTATTTTTTTTCTGTAGTAGTCTACAGTAATACCCTTATTTTTCATGATTTTTATCTCGATTTACAACCAGAATTTCAAACACCTTTGATACTTGTACAATATTGTTCAATATAATATATACACACATACCTGCCAAGCTCTCAACAATAAAATGAAAATTATAGATGGTCAAAATGCATGTCAAGTCGGTTAGTTTCAGTTGTAAAGTTTTCAAAGCCATCAAAATAAATAGTTTGGCATACTGTTATGACACTGGAAAGAGTATAGTGTGCTTCCACCGGGGATCGTACCTGCGATCACATACTTCCTAGTCGGAAGCTCTACCACTGAGCTAAAGGGAAAATTTCTCTAGCTAGAAGTTGACCATAATCCTATGACTATGTACAATTAAAATCTGCCACACTACTCCCCCCTTTTTAAATGTGTTCGCCGTCGAATACCACCACCTGGTTCTAACTGACCCTGTCACCACAGGGAGGGCCACGGACACTATTTGTAACAGGAATGAGAATAGCATGCTTCCATTGGGTATCAAACCCACAATCCCATACTTCCTAGTCGGATGCTCTACCACTGAGCTATAGGGAAATTCTCTCTTTGTGCCAATTAAGCTAGAAGACCTGGATTCGAACCTGAAACCCTCTGAACTATGGATGGACGTTAAATTGTTAAATTACTAAATTGGTAATAAGGGAAAAAAACATAAAAACTAAACCCCAATCAATTAAAAACAAGGCCGCTTGCAGTCTCTCTCACCAACACTTGTACTCATTATTATATATTTTAGTATGAGATCTACACAAAGGATACTTGTAAGAATTATATAACTGAAAATTAATTGCTTAAGCATTTCAAAAGAGTTAAGTTCTAAGTCTGTGGTATTTTAAAGTTACGAGAAATATTATATTCATAATAAAAAGAGTGTTTTTTGGGGTTACATTGAAAAATAATAAGTACATGTTTACCTTCTTATTCTTCCACAGATAAACTGAGTGATTACTTGGACCAGGTTATGAAAATGATATTTGGAACAAGACTCTCCAGTGGTCACTCAGGAATCATAACATTTAGCAACTTTTACTCAAAGGCAGCATCATGATTTAAAGGGCAGCAATTAGGACCAAGGAAATTAGAGGTAACGGTGATCTAAGGAGCCTCTTTATAAATCTACAAATATGAGGAGTTCAAGTGCACAGAGACTTGAGAGAAAGTTGAACAAGCATGCTATGACAATTCTGATTGGTGGGATATTTTTGTCGTTCAGTGCGCTCATGTACCTTTCGTTCTGCCACATGCCGTGCGAGGACCCCACATATGCTGTAGCTCACAACAGGTTAAAGGAAGCTCAAAATGAGGCCTACTGGAGTGGTAACATGTTGTCCCCAAGACGGAAAATCTCAGTTTTTCTTGCCGTTATTATCCCGTCTGCTCCTGGCAATGCTAGACAAAGGGATGTTGTGCGCGAAACCTGGGGCAACGATCTAGGTAAAGACTCTATCTTGAGGTTTATCATAGGCACAGGCAATATCAGCTTGGATGTAGAAAAGGAGCTCCAAAGAGAAAACTTACTCCACAAAGATCTGGTGCTTTTAAAGTTAAATGATTCTTTTGTAGCTTTAACAAAGAAAATGTTAGAAACCTTCAAATGGTTAGATAGTAATGTAGATTTCAAGTTTGTGCTAAAAGCAGACGAAGATACATTTGTTCAAGTTGATAAATTTAAAGCAGAATTACAATTAAAACCTAAGGAACAGCTTTATTGGGGATTTTTTGATGGACGTGCAACTGTTAAAAAGATGGGGAAGTGGCCGGAGACTGATTGGAAGCTGTGTGATAGATACTTACCATACGCTTTAGGGGGAGGTTATGTCTTATCTAGTGATTTAGTCCACTACATTGCTTCAAACTCAAAAATGTTAAAACTTTTCAACAATGAAGACGTGTCTGTAGGTGCCTGGCTCGGTCCTCTGGATATTCAGCGTCAACATGATCCCAGATTTGATACAGAATACGTCTCTAGAGGATGTCAGAATGTATATCTTGTCACACACAAACACACTAACATAGAGATGCGAGAATTTAAAGAAAATATTAAAAAAAAAGGGAAATTGTGTACAAAAGAATTCCAGCTGAGGTTATCGTATATATATAACTGGAATGGCGCACCGTCCAGGTGTTGCCAGAGAATAGATGACTCCATTCCATAGATAAGAACAACAACTTATCTGTTGCTTTTTATAAGATAATTAATTTTGAAATAAGGTTTGGCTAGTTTTGAAATATTTACATTAAATTTGTATGGTATTCACCTGAACTAAGGTGTAAAGTTTTTTGTGTGAGTGGTATAAAAACAAAGTCATAGAAACCTCTTATAAACAATGTAGAAGTATAGACAAATGTAAGACATATTACATGTATCTATTAGAAAGGATGTTTGTCCAGTGATAAAGTACTTTGACCTGCCTCTGTGTGCTATCAAGTTTACCAAAGAGTCTATATATATAGCTTTATGTGCTTCAACTCAATTCTGACTTCTGACATAAAATTTAACATTTGGTACATTGTTTTATTTAAGTATTACATTGATCAAGGTCAGTTTTCTTATTAACTTTGTACTTTACATGTTGGCAATTTGTTTATCCATCTGACATCAACCTTTTTTTTTCTTTGATCAACTTTTTTCTTTAACCCTTTCAACACTAGATTTATCATCTCTATAATCTCTTTAACCAAGTTAGAATGAACAACATAGATACCTTAAATATTAAGAACCCTGAACGGTTAATTTATGGTGACCCAAATCTGTCTCAAGATGATAACATTATTTATATTTGATCAGGTACAGAGGTACATTTTAGAGTCAGGTAGATTCTAGGTGCTAGCTGGGATCTTTTCATGCTCTCTTCATAACTGTTTCCATTCTTTTATCATACCTACCTGTGTATATTTTTTAAATTTTTGGTTCATCACATAAAATGGTCAGTATTATCACAAACTGTTAATCTAAACAATTTATGTGTATTAATTAAATGAATGTTGTAGTACTTCCTTAACGTAATTACATTTCAAGGCAGATGGCTTTATATAAGATTTAAAATCTTGTTGCCAGATCATATTAATATTTCTATTAACCTGTGTACTTATTATATATGATATATGAAATAAATGTTGTTCAAACCAACACTGTAGACCATAATGGACTCGCTCAGAACAATGCATGGTAGAGTCTACTAAAGTTGCATAGGGCTGAAAGGGTTAAACAGCTTTTTATATGGTCATGATATTTGGCCTGTATTATGCTTGGGTGGAGGACTACTGTATACCGGATACTTTCGCCCAGTCAAATTTTCGCCCTTCACTGGTATAATCTGTTTTCGTGTGGTGTTCATTTCGCCTTCCACATGTTATTACCAGTACTATATTATATAGTATATTGTGTACTAATATTTGCTGTCATGATAATTCATCCTCATTACGGAGGGCGAAAAAGGCGAAAATTTACCTGTGGCGAAAATTTCCCCATATACAGTATCAAGTTATTAACGTTTATCTACTTTCAAGGTCATTGGTGTTAGATTTTTAATCTTTTAAATTCGCCAAAGGTTTAGGGTCATGCTATCTAACCTGTAGCTGGCTGGGGACTATCATGTTTGTTCCAATTATTGACCTTGACCTAATTTGAAAGTCACCAAAATGAAGTGTTTCTCATCAGCATATAATAACAGTAGAGCAATACAGTCCCTATGGACCCCTTGTTAAAGTAATGCAACGAATTCAGTGCCACAGTTTGTCTATTCAGATTCTCTACACAAGTTTAGTAAAATCCTTGAAGCAGTAAGTCTATTTTGATTCACATTATTGTATTCGTGATGTAGAATCAGAAACACCATCTGCTGCACCTACAATGTACAATACTTTATTAGACAACAATGAAGAGGTCGTCACAATCAGGTTCATAAATAGCAAGCCAAGATCTTCCTTCAGTATTAAAAAGTGTGAGGCATTACAACTTTCTGTTTAAAAATAGAGAAAAATTAAGAAAACATCACTATAGATATAAGATTTGTTGGAGCTAAAACTGTTTCCAGCTGTTGTTTAAGTTGTACGTTGATGTCACCATTAGTGTGTGACATTTTTAAGATAACATGACAGTCCTACGTTTATGGGTCACATGACAATGTTCAGGTTCTGGGACATATGACAATGTGCAGGTTCTGTGACATATGGCAATGTGCAGGTGCTGGTTCACTGTGCAATGTTCAGGTTCTGGGACATATGACAATGTTCAGGTTCTGGTTCACATTGCAATGTTCAGGTTCTGGTTCACTGGGCAATGTACAGGTTCTGGAACACATGTCAATGTTCAGGTTCTGGTTCACTGTGCAATGTACAGGTTCTGGGACACATGACAATGTGCAGGTTCTGGGACATATGGCAATGTGCAGGTTCTGGTTCACTGTGCAATGTACAGGTTCTGGGTCACATGACAATGTTCAGGTTCTGGTTCACATTGCAATGTTCAGGTTCTGGGTCACATGACAATGTACAGGTTCTGGGTCACATGACAATGTTCAGGTTCTGGGTCACATTACAATGTTCAGGTTCTGGGTCACATGACAATGTGCAGGTTCTGGTTCACTTTGCAATGTACAGGTTCTGGGACACATGACAATGTGCAGGTTCTGGGACATATGACAATGTGCAGGCTCTGGGACACATGACAATGTACAGGTTCTGGGACATATGACAATGTGCAGGTTCTGGGACACATGACAATGTACAGGTTCTGGGACACATGGCAATGTGCAGGTTCTGGGACATATGACAATGTGCAGGTTCTGGGACATATGACAATGTGCAGGTTCTGGGTCACATGACAATGTTCAGGTTCTGGTTCACATTGCAATGTTCAGGTTCTGGGTCACATGACAATGTACAGGTTCTGGAACACATGTCAATGTTCAGGTTCTGGGTCACATGACAATGTGCAGGTTCTGGTTCACATTGCAATGTTCAGGTTCTGGGTCACATGACAATGTTCAGGTTCTGGGTCACATGACAATGTTCAGGTTCAGATTGCTTCCTTACTTTACCTTGTACTTACTTAAATGACCTTACCTGTTAATAAGACACTAAACCCAATAAAACCAAAGCAAACCAAATCTTATTTTACCCTGTTCTTCGTAAGAACCCTTTATATGCCTTTACTCCTTAAGACTTTTTGCAATATTTCTTGATTATTGAAAAATAGTGTGTAGTAGTTATATTTTCAGTATTGAAGTTAAATCTGAACTTTTTCTGAAGACAAGTACATGAATAAATAACAAGACAAACAGTAAAATAAACTTTTGGAGCTAAAACTTTCAATTTAGTTGAACACCTATCTCACTAGACTTGGCTAGTTTGATACCGTAAAAGTGTGATTTTACCAGTGTGTCTACGGTACAAGTTGAGCCACAAAGAGTGACATTTAAAATCTAGTTCACCTATTTAGGTGCTGTATCTCACATTTAGTTTGAACTGGTACAATAAGGTGATGCTTTTGAAGCATATCATATGCAATTATGACATTGTCCCATATGATACCTTCCATTTTTCATTACCCATAATTACCTCAAATTAACAACTGATTATACAAACTACATACACTGTAGATACTTAAGTTTAAATTTCATATTGATGGCTTTCTGGGTTTTTTCTCTTACAAATCACTACTTTACTATTAATCTTAAAATACCAAATGGGTGGCTTTCTTGTTTTTCTTTATTATAAATATTTAATTGTTGCTTTATATTTTTCACTTTAAAACCTGTTGACTACGCATTTATCAAAAAAGTAAAAGAAATATGAGCTTTAACAATGATTAAATCCCCATGTTTCCATAATATGACTCGTGGAGTAAGTTCCCAGGGATGAAGCAGATCTCGGGGCCTAATAACAAGTGTGTTTTTATCTCTTCATGCCTAGCAATTGTATACATGATTATATGGCGGAGATTTCAACAAGGAAGTATGTACCGGGAGTGGGACTGGACCATCAGGCGAATCATGGTGGCACGAGTATATTAACTATTCATACCTATCAAATGTATATTTGGCAATAGGATGGATAGGGATTTCAGGAAATAAGTACCCATGGGTGAGGCTGGACCCCCAGGCGAATCATATGGTAGCATGAGTGTATTCATCTATTCATACCTATCAAATGTATATATGGCAATAGGATGGATAGGGATTTCAGGAAATAAGTACCCAGGGGTGAGGCTGGACCCCAGGCGAATCAAGGTAGCATGAGTAATCATCTATTCATGCCTATTAGTTCGCTATATAGTTTATGAGTTGGTAACTGACCCAGAGAGTAAGTATTAAGAGGTGAGGTGAGTCCCCAGGACCACTCCTAATAGTAGTGTGTTTTTATCTCTTCATGCCAAACAATGGTATTTATATTAGGCTATGGTGTGGGGATCTCAGCTGTTTCCATGTTTTCACTCAGGGGGTAAATCTGGGACCCCATGGTAAATCCTGCTAGTATGGTTGTATTCATCTCTTCATGCCTAGTAACTTTGCATATTATAGGATGTTTTCATATAGTGACCCAGGGAGTAAGTCCTCAGGGATAGGGCCAAACCCCAGGGTTAATCATGAATGCCTGAATCAATCTTATTATCATGAATGAATTTGTCTCTTCATGAATAGTGGTTTCCATGGTAATAGGGTGGGGATATAAATTCTCCCTTAGTATGACCCAAGAGTGGGGCTGGACTTTTGAGTCAATCCTGGTAGCATGAGAAAATCTTTGTATTTTTTAATAGCTGGCATCTATTTTTTTGTATTTTTTTTCTTTATCTGAGTCTTAAAACGAAACATGCACAACTATGGACCATTGGGAACTTTTATATGAATTTTAGGAAGAACTGTCAAGTAATTTTTGAGAAAAGTGATAGCAAGAGAAAAGCAATTTGAACAACCGAACTGATGATGTTGGGCAAAAATATCACCATAATAAAATCCAGATTTTAAATTAGATGCCTCCCCTTTCCCAAACAATTTTTGTTACTACTACAGTATATGCATTGACTGTTTATTATAATGCAAATCAGTTAGGAAAGGGTTTCTGCCTGATGTCCAGTCCCACTCACAGGGACCTGAGAATTTGTTACAGCTATATTTGGACCTAAACTAAGGTGTTCAGAGTAATTTTACATGTTTTAGGGGTTGAGATTGAATTTCGGTAAAAATGACACCCCCAATGATCATATATAGGTGCTTAGTTTAGGTCCAAATATAGCTGTAACAAATTCTCAGTTCCCTGTGGTCCCACTGACTTAACGAAAAAAATGAATACGATCAGATCTTAATTTTGCAAAATTCTTAGAACCTTTCAGAGTACTGTTGAAACAAAACATTCCTCAAGGGTACCGAAGTTTTATTTCCTAAAATATCAATTTGATTTTTGTTTTGTCAATCAGGTATGCATAATTCTTAAACATAGCTCATTAGCTATGTTTTTATCATAACTGTATGTGATAATTAAGTGTAATACTATTTTTAGTTTGGCATTTGTGAAGATCAACTATAAAATGTCCGATAATTACCTGCAAGCTTTACAATTTGCTATAAAGTATTGACTTTGTTATATTTACAAATTGTTGATTTGTGAAAAAAATAAAAAATAACCCATTTTCGAGATGAATCTAAAAGTTCATGATGTTGTTGTTTGTCCGTAAAATGTATTTTAGCTATATGTGCTGTATTTACAATGTGTGTTGTAAACATGATAATTTGAGATAATTGACATTGAGTCTAATATGTTATAAGGTAGTCATTGGAGAATTGACTATTAGTCCTTGACTTTGTAGTTATCTAGCTGCCAGCAAGTAACAGAAGCGAGACTGAGGTGTTTTTTGAGATGACGGTGGCAGCTTCAACATTAAGTTTTTGCGTTTAAGTTTCACTGAAAGTATAAGTGCTAGACCAACCAAACTTGAACCATAGATGCATCTTAGATCGTACATCTCAACCCATGCATCAAATGCTGGATGCAGCCTACCTTTCATGGTCCATTGACTTAGTCAGCATCTCCATCAACATTAAGTTTTTGCGTTTAAGTTGATTAGTTTCTCTGAAACTTTAAGTGCTAGACCAACTAAACTT